ACTTTATAAATATGGGATAAACGTCAAATTTCAAAATACTAAAACTAAAAATTTTGATTTTGGATTATCAAAGTGTGAAACTTAGAAAAACTCATTTGTGAACCCATTTTGGTTATTGGATTTTTTTGTTCAATTAAATTAAAACCTCCTGGCATAACAAAGAAAATGTTTCTTTGTTATGAACATATGTATGTTTCGACAACTGTAAAATTTCAAAAATTTTTAAAACACGAAATTTCACTCCACAAAACTTGAAAAAGAATTTTAAACGTTGAGAGAAAACTCAGAGATAGAAAGAGAATATAGTCTGGTTCTTTTCGGATTTCGAGCAGCAGATATATTCGTTTATATAAATCAAATACATAATATGTACATGTCTTTTTGCAGCAGCAATCAACATATACCTGCATATTATCATTGATGATGGTTGATTCATTGATCTACAAATGAATGTAAATCTAATGATCGAACAGGAAAGTTATGATTTCATGATTCTTTCCTTTTCACTTAAACAACTAATAGTACAAATGTAAACATCATAGTAAAAAAAATCTGAAGTGATCAGCACATAACCGACCGCAATGTGTATTGTCTAGTTAAGTGAGAGTGTTACAGAATATTATAAAATGTCGGTTAAATACTTCTTTCCAATTTTTAGGACATTAGTAAGCTTATAGTTAATATACCTAGAAAAATGTAAATTTGGCTCTTAGTAGAGTTTCGCTTTGTGCTACCCGAATTCAACAACCAGAACTCAAATGTCAAATTTCAAGAAATTCCATCAATTCGTTCCATAGATATGGCGAAAAAGGTAAAATCGACCTACAGATCAGTTTTCGAGCCTTTATCTTTCCGAAACATTTATATTTTCATTGTTTTAATACGAAGAATTTCCAGACTGACAGACCGACAGGTTGCTAAAAATAGTTTATTTACAATTCCCTACTATGGAGAAGTGCATTCTCACCGAAAACTCGATATGCAAAATTTGTTGTCATCACATCATCTACCTATTGTATACACAATACGGTCGGTAAAAATGTTAATTAACAGTTAACTACTTTAGCTTTATCAACTTTGGAACTGTTATGGATTCTTGTTAGATGGAACGCTTTCAATATTTAATTCTCTTAAAAAGTCCTAGTTCCCTTTCACGCTGAATCGAGCAATTTTTTTCCTAAAATCTTTAAGAAACTTCAAGAGCTTTTAAACCAGTTTTGCATCACCTTGCGTATATACTTACATATATAACATATTTATATTTTATAATAACAGATGATTCGGATTTTGTAAAATGTTTGACATAATAAGTTTTTTTTAAATTTCTAAATACATATATTGGCATGTAAATGTGTATGAAATTAGAGAAAGTAATAATATAACATTTTTAATGTAAATCAGAATTTTGTGTATACATACAATACAAACAATAATTTTTTATAGTTAAAATACTAGAGGTTTTCATAAACGTAATGTTGCAAAACAATAACGACTTCAAGCAAAATTGCAAAATTAAAACCTTAGTAATTTCGCTTTATTGCGGAAGTTTAGCAATGTTTATTAATAAACTATATTAGCCTTCACTATATGTACATGCGACAAATTTTTACCGACCGTATTGTGTAAACAATAGGTAGGTTATGTGATGGCAACAAATTTTGCATATCGAGTTTTCGGTGGGAACGTACTTCTCCATAGTAGGGAAGTGTAAATAAACTATTTTTAGCAACCTGTCGGTCTGTCGGTCTGTCGGTCTGTCGGTCTGTGTGTGCACGCGTGTATCTCAAGTTCGGCTGAACCGATTTTGATGAAATTTTATATGTAAGTTTGTTTCCACCATGGCACGGATCGATCAACTTTTGGTATATATCAGGCCTCGGGAACTGCACTTTTTAGCGGGCCTGTTTTACATTTTTGAACATTTTGAAGAAAATATTCAACCGATTTACTTGAAATTTTATATATAAGCTCAGCTCGACCGTCCGCAAAAATTCGTATGTTTTGGAAGAAATCAGGCATCGGCAACTAGACGTTTACTACGGGCCAAATATACATTTTTGTGTATATAAAGAGAAATAATCAACCGATTTCATTGAAATTTAATATATGAATTCCCCGTATTAAAACAATGAATATGTAAATTTTCTGGAAAGATCAGGCATCGGCAACTAGACGTTTACTACGGGCCAAACATACACTTTTGTGTATATAAAGAGAAATAATCAACCGATTTCATTGAAATTTAATATATATAAAATCCTCATATTAAAGCAATGAACATATAACTTTTTTGGAAAGATCAGGGCTCGAAAACGGATTTGCGGGCCGATTTTACATTTTTCACCATTTTGAAGAAAGTATTCAACCGATTTATTTGAAATTTCATATATAAGCTTTGCTCGGATCATACGCAAAAATTCCTAACTTTTGGAAGAAATCAGGCATCAGCAACTGGGCGTTTACTACGGGCCAAATATACATTTTTGTGTATATAAAGAGAAATAATCAACCGATTTCATTGAAATTTAATATATGAATTCCCCGTATTAAAACAATGAATATGTAAATTTTCTGGAAAGATCAGGCATCGGCAACTAGACGTTTACTACGGGCCAAACATACACTTTTGTGTATATAAAGAGAAATAATCAACCGATTTCATTGAAATTTAATATATGAATTCCTCATATTAAAGCAATGAACATATAACTTTTTGGGAAAGATCAGCATTTCAGGGAAATCGGGTAGCACAAAGCGAAACTCTACTAAGAGCCAAATTTACATTTTTCTAAGTATGTTAACTATAAGCTTACTAAAGTCCTAAAAATTGGAAAGAAGTATTTAACAGACATTTTTATAATATTCTGTAACACTTTCATTTAACTAGACAATACACAATGCGGTCGGTTATGTGCTGACCACATCAGATTTTTTTACATTGAATTGCAACTTTGTGATATTTGAATCTCAAAACTAATTTTTACATACTCTGTGCGGACATACAGAGACACTTTTGGAAAAAAAAATAAAATAAAAATAATAATTAATAGTAATATATTAAATAGTATCGCTCAAACCGACGAAATTAAATTTCAACCAGTTATTTTAGCAAAAAATAAAAAGGGTTTTATTAGCTTTCTTTTGATACCAATTTTGAGAGTTTCCTCTAAGTTACTGGAGGTTTTAACGAATCATTTTGCCATTTTTTTATGAAAAATTTTTATTTTACCATATATATTTGTACATATATTTTATTTAAATAAAAAGCATAAAAACAAAAAGCTGATTATTTAATTTTCAAAAAATTTTTAAAAACTGGTGAAATTTGACATAATGTATAAGAGATAAAGAGAAATTTAATGTTGGGCACCAACTACACATCAGATTACATCTACCATTTAACCTACAATAAAATCTGAAGAGTATTTACGCATTAAATTCTATTTATTCTAATTTTATGTCAAACTTTTGACGGTAATGTTTTTTTATATTTTTAATCTATAAACTGTCAATAAAAATTAAAAAGAAAAACAGCTGATCGTGGCAAAACTTTTTTAATAATTTACTTCCCGTCAACTTATTTTTTACAATGTGACAGTAAATCTGATGATAATTAGGTATGTTTATATATTTTTCTTTAGCTTTTATTTGATGTCAGACTTCGATTGAATATCAGGTTGTGATCAGATTCAGATTTAATTGTATAAAGACGTCCGCTTAGAAGACGGTAGGTCACTGGTTCGAGTCAAGTTCGGAGAGAAAATTTTTTTAATTTTTCTGCCTTGGCTCGTTCCCTTGATCCATCTGTTCTGTAGTTGTATGAAGAAGTTTCCACTAGTTATTGTTATAAGAATTTAATAATAAAGATAAAGAACTACACATTGTATTGGTTGCTAGGAATATAGTTAAAAAAATTTTATAAACTATTAAATGAAATTGCAAAATATTGAACAGCAAAAAATTAAGGCAGTTAAATTCTCTTTAAAACAGTATGTGAACTTTTCTCCTATAGCTTTAATTTAGAAGTTATTGTTGATAAAAAAAATATAATTATTTTTCTTAACTCACGCAATTAACCCTTAAAATCGAGCATTATGTTAGCCCCCCATTAAATTAATTTTTGCTTTATTTCAAAGACTGCATAAATCGTTCATCCTAAAAATAAGCAATCCGAGAAATAGTTTCGTATATGAACGAAAATAATTTTAATAGTGTAGATTGTTTTTAAAAACAGTATTTTCTTTTGTTGAAGAATACAACTTTTACAGTTTCTTTCAATACAAACCATTGGTTTAACTCAATTTTATTATTATTCCTACAATTTTGTATGAAACTATAAGAACCTTTAAAAATTTTTTTATAGATTTTTTGCTAGTTTCTTAAACTTTATAAGTTAATAAACGTTAACAAGATTTTTATGGTACAGAAGAGATAGGAGAAAAACCTTTTCTAGTTGAAGATTTCAAAGGCCTTAATAAAGCTCAAAGAGTATCGATATTTTTGATTTATTTTGACAAAAATGGTCATTCTAAAAGTAGTTGACCTTTTTAAGAACCATTCTTTTGGTAAAAAAACGAAAGCTTAAGATTTTTATTAAAATGTAATAAATTTTAGAGAAAAATTCCTATTTCTGAGTTTTTTTCCACAAATAACACTTTCTACCGTCGTCAACTTTCTTTGTCTCTTTAGTGCCACGTTTCATTCAACAAGATAGTTTTTGACTCTTTTATCTACTTAGATTTTCGCATAATGGTGTCTGCGTAAAAAAATTGAAGTAGGTTTCCGCAAGCAGGCAGCGAAATTAGATATACTTTGACTTACACTGGTTTTTTAATCCTTTAGAATAATTTGAAGTATCATTGGTATATTTACCTTCAAAATTTGATTTATGTTATAATTATAATATATTCATGACATCTAAAAGAGTTCCGGCTATTCCTTAAAAGTTCCTTATAAAATTTGAAAGTAAAAGAAAGAAAACACTATTTTCTTAACTGGATTCTATTTTAATATATTAATAATATTAGCATCTTGTTTTCCATTTTTTGGGGTAAGTGTATATGTGTCCTAAATATTAAAGTTTCAGTTATTTACAACATTATTACAAAAATTTTGTCTACAACCAATACAAAGATAAAGAAATTTGCGTATAACTAACCTAATAATTATTGTAAATAATAATGTATTGATATTATTTGTATAAAAGTATTACAATAAATTTTATAAATACATTTTGGTAAAAGTGAAAAATTAAACAATAATTATAAACTTGTTAAATCTAATATTTAACTATTATTTGAAATAAAAAAATTTCAACTTTGAGAAGTTTTTGTAATTTGCGATAATATATTTTGTCCGCAATATTTTAACCCTTAATTAATTCCATTTTCAGTCCATTTTCAGTACATTTTCATTTTATGTAGTTTTCTTAATGTTGAACTTACTTCAATGGAATGGTTCAGCGTTCGCAATTTTATTATATTGTTTTACCACACTTACTTATACTTTTACTTCAGTAACCTAAATTTTAAACGAGTCGATATTTTCAATTATAAACAATGTATTTAAATAATAATTAGCCGCCCTTTTTTTGTTTTATTATACGTTAATTTGAAACGCTTCACGATGTAATTTCGGGTTAGCACGTACTCTTGGTGAATTTGCAGATCTTGTTTCACTACCATCTGAAAATTTTGGTGGTGGATTTATGTGGTCCTGATAATTGGAGTTTGGATAATTTGAAATACTGAAAAAATTAATATTATACATTAGAAGTTGAATTATTTACCACAATAGAAAAGACAGAAAAGTTTGAAATACTTTAAGAAGACGGAATACCAGAAATGGTTACTAGTTGTAGAACTAACTAATTGAGCTACTTAGAGTAATTAGAATTATTGAGTTAATGATTTATTAATAGTATTATTGTTAATGAAGGAAATCTCTCTTTACAAATTGAATTTATAAATCTTATCACAAGGCTTTTCATAATTTTCAGTGGCCTTAAATCGGCCCGATAAACTTTCATTATTGCAGATTTTTCAATTTCATATACTAATTATGCAGATTTTTCAATTTCACCGTAAATTAATTTAAAGTTATTATGGATTCGTATATCTATATGAAATGAGTTAAATAATAATAATACCATTTAATAGAAATTATTAATGAAGGTATGTTCATATAATACCAAATGCAAACTATTGAACGTCTTCTGTTTTGCTTTTTTTTCTTGCACTGTTTAGTTTTATTGAGATAAACTTTGGTTGAAGTTAAGTTATGCTATTTTTAACATAAAACAACATCATACACTTGGTACAGGGGTAATACATGATAATTAAGAACTCATTTGCCTACTAAATCAAGTTGTGTATGAATATGTGCAATTAATTCTATATGTACTTATGAAACAAATAATTAATTACGGGATGTGTCTATTTATATTATTTGCTAGCTCACCTAGAAAATTAACGTTTTTTAAAAATGAAACGTTAAAATTTCAAATTTTCCGAACTTTAAAGTCACGTGATTCCGAAATCTGAATAGATTATAACTATTGTGGATATTCATAAGAAAGCCCCTACTATGAGCTTTCCAAATCATATTTATTAATGGGCCAGCCCTAAACAGGCGCGGAGTTATATATTACTTAAAATTTCAAAAAGTAAAAAAATCACTTGAAATTGACTTTAAGTCCCTGTAACTCCGAACCTGTTGAGCTGTGGACATTGTTTGTTTCCATGCAAAAGTTCTGTCTACTCATGAAGGCCTATATAATGGTATATAGCAGTGCACTTTGTTGAGACACCGTGTATATTTTTTTTGAAAAATTGAATTTGGCATTAAATATTTTCTATGGAAAAATAATAATTTTTAGAATAATTTTACTTTGTAATTTATAGTCCATAAGAAGAAAAGTAATTCATTATGCATTCGACGCATGTGATTAAAATATAACTTATTTTATTAGTAAAAAATAGTGACCCTGTAGACAAACTGTGTATATTATTAGTAATTCATTTTGTATTCAGAAAAATAGATTTCAAATTTTTTGGTAACAAAAAAAAATTGTTTATCAAAAGTAGAATCTGAAACTCAATTGTTTTCTTTTCTTTAGTTATGCGAAAAAACTAAAACAAAAAATATAAGAAATAAAAATAAGAAAAAAAGAAACTCAAAAAAATTCTGATGCACGATTTCATATTACATACTAACATTGACATAAAGAAAATATCAAAGCCTAGACCCTTATTTTTTTGCGAATGTATTTGTTAAAATTGCGAATATATTTACAGTAAAATGACATTTTTAAATCATCTCTTTTTGTTTTGTGAAAAATTATGACTAAGATTATGAAGATTATAAGTTGTTCTTGTTAGAGATTTGTGATGGACAAAAGAGACCGCTTGCATAACAATACGTCTGAATTCGTCAGCTGTGAACTGTCATTCTCTCTTAGGATTCAGATCTGTATTTCTGTCAGCCGTGCAATTAACAAACACACAATCTTTTGAAAAGAATTAAAGAACCATACAAATCAAGAAGAATAAAACTACTGAGAGAAAAAGTTTAATTGTTTGTTTTGGTTTTTTTAAGGGGTCCTAGGTAAACTCAAATATTTAGGAATTTTATAGAAAATTAAAAAAAAATAAAAAACAAGTAAAAACGTTTCAGTCGGTATAAACCGATTGAATTATACCCTGCACCTTTCGTTGTTGTATAGCAATTACTCAAACCTGTGAAACCATTCTATAGAAATTTCACGGATATGTCTGATTTATAACTGGACACACAACTACCAAGTTTCATTAGTCTGACTTTATTTTTCCAAATATTTAAACTTTTGGACTTGTATAGGAGCTACTCGTAGCTGTAGAGCGATTCAACCAAAACTTCAGAAATATATCTGGCCTATAACTGGACACACAACTACCAAGTTTCATTAGTCTGACTTTATTTTTCCAAATATTTAAACTTTTGGACTTGTATAGGAGCTACTCGTAGCTGTAGAGCGATTCAACCAAAACTTCAGAAATATATCTGGCCTATAACTCGACACACAACTGTCAAGTTTCATGTATCTGATTATATTATTTTTCCAAATATTTAAAATTAGCTTCTGGAGTTGTATGGCAGGTACCCGAACCTGTCAAGCAATTCCTCTAAAACTTCAGAAATATATTTGACCTATAATTGGACACATGACTGCCAAGTTTCATGAATCTACCTTTATTATTTTTCCGAATATAAAAAATATGCTGTTGGAGTTGTATGGCAGCCACCCGAACCGGTGCAGCTATCCCATTATAATTTTTAGAGCATATGTAGAATATAATTGGACACATGTATACAAAATTTTATATTTGTACCTTTATTAGTTTTTGAAATAATTAAAAAAAACTCTTTGAGTTGTATGGCAGCTACCCGAACCCGTTGTCCGAATTGGTCCAATAACAATAATCCTTGGCACAAAAGAAGCCACTTGTGAAAGTTTGGTGTCGATTGCATTATTTGTTTTTGAGTTATCGTGCGATCGGACGGACGGACGGACGGACATGTCTAAATCAACGCAGAATTTTACGCTGAGCAAGAATATATATATATGTCCATACCGCAGAAGACTCCTTCAAGTAGTTACAAACTCCATACCAAAGTTAATATACCCTTCACGAAGTGCAGGATATAAAAACACATAATTTTCGAAAAAAATATGCTTGCGAAATGTCATTTTGCCAAAAAGTTATTCATACATTCACTACTACATTTGCATAAAAAATTGTAGGTCTTATTAAAAAGCACGACAGGCGCTTAGAAATTGAGACATGTTTTTGAAAATCAGTTAATAATTACATATTTAATATTGATTTCAAATCAAATTTCGTTTATAAAAGCAATTACATTTTTTCGCAATTTTTTTAATTTTATATAAGAACAACATCTTTGGAACAAAATTATAAGAGTTTTCGATACAATGCAAATAAACGCGATGTACATAATATGAAATTTCATCGTTTGAAGTTCTTTCACGATGATGTTTTAATAATACGGCCCTATAAATTTAATTTTTATAAATTAGCCTTCCTAATATATGCCGAGTTCTGCCATAGGGAACTGTATTTTCCCGCGTTACTCGTGAGATTAGAAATGGAATTCCAAAAAAAAAAATGAAAAAAAAACAACATCTATAATAATAAGGGCAAAAAAGATAACAAAGTCAACAAGAACAGCAAGGAAAACTCTGATAACAAGATGGTCTGTGATCTGTTGTTTTCGGTACCAGATTTTCTTTCTACCGGTACAGATGTAAATTTCTCTTTACGCCGGTGGGAAAAATAACAATAGCTAATGTAAAGACGGTAAAGCAGGGTTTTATGTTCTGAACTGAAGAAGTTCTTTTATAGTCCACTATTCGATTTCCAGATAGTGAAAATAAAAGAAGCTATTACGGATAACGCCATTAACGTTTCCTATTTTCTGTATCGATGCAAAGGAATGTCCGTCACATACAACAATTAGAACACCAGCGATCAAACCTAAGGACGGATGTAATATAGAGATGTTCAATGGCGACAATATTCCCAGACAGCAAATCTCTAATCTAATCCCAGTGTTAAGACGAGTTAATAGAGGGTTCTTTGTATGGATAAGAAAAGAGACGGGGGATACTCAATCCTTTGTCCGTAGATGATTACGGTTTTGTGAAGCCTACAGAAAGCACAGTTTCGCCCTTAACTTAATTTTCACCAAGTCATTTCAGGGCGTCAGGGATGTAATTTGGTATAGTCGACGCCTAACGTAATTGTTGCGAATACTTCGAGTAAAGTAAACGGACCCAAGTCCATTTGGAAGCCTGAGACTGCTCTAAGGGCTGGTGTTGAAAAAGATGTGGCCTCTTCATCAAAAGAATAGGCCACACCATGGCTTCATTGAAAGCCATTTTCTAAAAGACCTAAATCTATATACAAGAGCCACAGAATACAATATGGCTGTGAGATATATCGAAATAAATGTACAGCAACGCCATGGCATCTACGGATGTTCTGGGTGATAGATTTGTGAAGAATCATCTCAACATCGTTCTTATCAAAAAGCCTTACATAGTGAAGGATTAGCTTTAGGTTTCAACAGATGAGTTATTATATGACAATACAGGTGGAGGTTTTATTTATTATATACTGATAAAAGTTTTCGTTCCAGAGTACTGTTCTGCGTAAGAATCAGGTGGCTGCGTTATACTGATGCTATCTCCCGGCAGATAGTTCCAATCCAGGCAAATAATTTAAGAAACCTAATTTTAATGTTTTGTTACATTTTCATTGTAAAACTTAATCGCATCAACTGTTATGTTAAAGATTTGTAAAATTGTTATGTTAAAGATGTGATTTATAGCCGAGCATTTCTGAGAACGAATTGATAGACTTAATTTTGACAGGCGATTGAAGGTTGTTTTCTTTGACAAAAATAAGTTGGACCAAGAAAAGCTAAATTGAGTGGTGCTTAAATGGTACATGACGACCGTTCAAGCAAGACATTCAAGTTCTTTAAAGAAAACAAATGACTTATGTTAAAGAGTAAGGTCCTTCACCTCTTCCTCAAACCAATCATCATCAAAAGAGAGCTCAATTTAAATTGGTTTCCTCTCGACGCTGCGGACTCAGTTACTATATAAATTAATCAATTAAGAATTGCGAGACGATAATGTGAAAGCTTTGTGGTTCGGGATAGTATTTGGAAATCTTAGAATAAGAGTTTTCTTACGAATATCTGCGTTAGTTATATTAAGTTCAGATTTCGGAATCACAGGACTTTAAAATTCAAAAAATTTTAAATTTTTATAAATTTTAAAAATAAAAAATTCTTTTCATTTTAAGAAAACCTTAATTTTTTAGGTTACACATCATTTTTGCTTTCGCTAATTTTAGTACAGCTGGCAACCTTGTGAACAAAGCTTTTATATGGTATATGAGGCAACTTCCTACTTAATCGAACTTTAAACTTATTGAGAAAATTAAAATATTGCAAATGTTATTTTACACAATTTTTTTTAGTAATGTAAAAAATGTACAACAACCGTTCAAAAGGGTGTATCTCTCTTGTTACGCAAAAATTCAACTTAACACCCTTACATCTGCCAAAATTAATGGGCCACATAACATCATTTGGTATCGTTCGTTGATATAGACCTGTAAATCAGTTTTGATTTCAACAATCTTTTGATAATGTGAGAGAGCGATAAGCGAAAATAATTGATTATTGTTATTGCGAACGACGCGGCTTTCGCAGGAAATAGTTCCAAAATTTTTTAAAGGGTTAAAAGCTTAATGATTACCCAAAAAAGTCCTGTATATACATATGTGCCAATTTTATAAATTCAGTTTTTCAATAAATGATTATAACATTTTGATGCAACATTAAGTTAATAGAGGAACTTAATAATAGTCTTCCCATAACTGTACAATGGTGTAAAATAAATCAAAAATACTCTTTTACTTGAACAAACTAGTACAAAATTTAAAGTGCAAAGTAAAATTTTACAGATAATTGCAATGTTGACTGGTTCAAACAAATGTTTACTGGTACTTCTAAAGAAGTATTAAATTGATTGCTAAAATAAATAAAAATATACAAACAAACAAATATTTAAATTATGCATTAGGGTTTAGGTTGAACATATTTTGGTGTAAGTAAAAATATATGTATAAGTTTTATATAGCAATATACATATGTCACAAATTTGCACAAATGCTACACCAATTTACACTGTTACGTGAAGACCATTAATATTAATTATTATTTAAAGTACCTAAATGTAGTTTCTTCGTTGTGACTTGAATACCCACTGGAACTTCTAACATGACGTTTAGGGAAATTTTGTGCTGTTGCTTTTCCTGACTTTCTTGTTGAAAATGGTGGTTTCGACTTTCTGGATAAACTCGTCGGCGTAGTTTCTGATGAAGATGATGTTTCATTTTGAGCATCTAAATATTAAATAAAATTACGTTTTGAAAAATTTCAATAAAGTATGATATAAAAGAATAAAAGAGCCGTTACCAATTGTAGGTCTATATTTATTTGAATTTGTATTTCCACGTGAGCTGATATCATTGTCCGATTCTGAGCCAAGAGTATCGTATTCTGTAATTGGTATGTGAAGCGTTAGGATTTTTCTGACTTCTGAATCTGTTGAGCCTGGATTGTCCGATTCTACAAAGTTCATAACGATTTGATGTATGTTTTATTATGTAAAAATGAGATTTCTGTTTTTTTTTTTTGTTATTGCGATTTCACAAACTGGAACTATGATGTTATTAACGGAAATTTCTTTAGTTAGAAGATTAAAATTTTATACCCCAAAACATCGAACAACGGTATAGTGTAACATTATATTTGCCATAATTATGGAATAGATGTCCATAATTATGGAATCAAAAAGTCTAGAGATTCTAACGAAATAAGCCCACTTGTTAAATGTAATGAAGGTTACAAGTGGTAAAGAATTATTAAAAAAAAAATATTAACCTTCTCTAAGCGTGCATTACTGGTTTATCTGGAAATGTCATATAATTAGGTGCGTGCTTCACCTATGTATGTAATTTTGCATAAGTAGATACGTACTTTACATAATAAGTTACAAATACACCATCCTGGTTAGCATAAGGCCACCGCGTAAACAGAGCAATTCTCATTTTCCTTTTCTAGTTTTTAGAAAATGTTTAGAGTTTATATGAAAGAAAAAATTTTTTTACCATCCCTTTATGTTTTAGCATTTTGAATTTAAAAATACTTAATTGATTTTTTTAACAATAAGTTTTGGAGTTTTATTTTGATATTTGCAAAAAAAAATTCCAAAAGAGGGACAAAACAAATTTCAAATTGAAACATTTTTATAGGGTAAATTTATCAAACTTTAAGCATAATTTAATTAAGCATAATAAATAAATTACTGAAAACATGTTTATATTGAAGAAAATATTGGGTAATTTAAATAATTAGTCCTAGCTCAAAATTAATACAAAATATCTCTGACACATTAAAATTGCGAAGTCTGCAAAAAATGTTAATGTAAAAAGTGTACGTTGTAAATCATAGTATGTCTAAAGTTTTAAAGGATTATTAATATTTTGTTTATATGCCACAAAATTATTTCAAGTTTAAAAAATCATAGCATGGATACAATAATTTGTTGTTGTTGGCTACATTTATTACATACATACATATAACATATAACTAATACAATTTAACAATGAATCGGCAAAAGTAAAATTTTTTAAAGAAAAAAAATATTTTGAGGTTTCAATTAGAAGTTTCAGTTGAGAACCTAAAACACATTTTAATTGCTCATTTCTCTTATATTACACGAAAATAAAAATAAAAAAAAATTAAACCAACAAAAAGAGCCTACTTCTTCAATTGGTTTTTTATCAAACTGAAAAATAATTTTAATAGAAAATAAATTGAGAAAAACATACGAATTATGTATGTATATCGAAACTGACTCGGAAAATTTCTTTAATGCGGTGGCGTTATACTGACAAGTATATAACAGCGCAGTGACAAGTATATTGAATTGTAAACTGTCAGAAATTTTTTTAAAATTGCTGTCAAACGGTAGACGTCTTTCGTGAAAATTTTAGTCAAAAAAAAGTGCTTGTTAAAAGCTTTTTAGTTACTAAGAAACTTATTGCAGTGAACTTTAAGAGAACAGCTCAAACAGACCCTTATCGAAAAGATGCACAAAAGAAAATTAAATTAACAAAATGTGATAAGCTTTTTTGACTAATGTTTTCCAATTTATTTAAATATTAGGCTACTACAATGATTTTCAAAAATATTTAATGAAATGAAAATGACATTGTGTTTTTGATATAACAGTGTGGATATTTTAAAATTTGTTTAATGCAGTATGATACATAAAATTCAAAGACTTTAATTTTGAAATTTGAAAAACTGAAAAACTTACCTTGACTCTCAGAATGAGGATCTCGCAGTCTTCCTCCCTTTCGTCTCACTTTTGTATACTCCGGTTCTTTAGTCTAATTAGATTTTGTAATGTGTAGAATATTAAAATATGATGAACTCGTATGTTGAAAATTTTGTTTAAATGTACATACATAAATAACTTACATGGTAACTATCTGGTTTTACATCATGGTATACAAATGAGCCTCGAACAGAATGATATGGCCCACTATAAACGTTTCCGCTATATGAACTTTCACTATAAGTCTGTTTGTTTAACTGAAACGTTGCATATGGACATATATCTTCGATGTACTCATTTCCTTCAGTTTTAAAGCTACCTGAATCGTTTGTATTACTTGATGGGCGATTGCTTGAGTTACAACGTGTAGATAAATATTGCTGATCACGATTTTGTTTATTTTGTAAGTTAACCAATGATGGAGACTCTGACATTGATGATGATGGAACACGGTTCGATTCGTTTAACTCTTTGGTTAATACAATAAAATAGGTAAAGTTTTAATTAAACCAGTTTATCCAATAAAACGAGTAAAATAATTCAAAATAGTGTGCTTAAGAACACAATATATTGACTTACTTCTTTTTCGAATAAATAAAACTGCTGCAATTAAGGCCAGTAAACAAAGTAACGATAGACAAATAGGTAATAAAACTTTGAAATTCGCATAAAATGGTCCATCACTTATGTGAGATATTGGCGAGGAATGATCTGGGCTGTATATCACTGAAAAAAATTTAATTTCTTTACACAGGACAACGTTTAACGCTTGCAAAAATGTTACTTACTTCCTTGCGGTAAGAGGGTCGTGAAGTTATAAGTTGCAACAGTTGAACCAGCGTTATTATGCGCGGTAACTCTAAGCTGCAAAAATAAAGTCAAAAATTAAATAAAAATCAAATTTCTTTAATGAAACTGTTTGTTTTACGTAAAATAAAATAAAATTGTCTTAGCAAATTTTATTATTATGTTTTATCAGCCCGTTTGTCTATTCTAGCTCTCATACAGCTCTAAAAATAATTTGGTCACATTACGGAAATTGTAAAGTTAACAATATGCACAAGTGAATGAATAATATGCTCATTATTTCAGCAAAATCTATTTGTTGTTGCATAAGTTCATGCAATAACTGTCATACAACTCTACAAATTAGGTCTATCTGGGATAAAACTTGATAAAACTTTAAAAAGAGAAACAATGGCGAAATTTCTCGCAAAAAAAAAAAAATTAAAAAACTCTTATTTAAAAAACAATAAACCAGATGGAAAACTTAAAAAAACTTTTAAAAACTTTATAAATAGGTGATAAACTTCAAATTTCAAAGTATTTATTAAACATAAATAAATATTTTTTAGTTATACTAAAAACCGAAAATTTTAATTTTGGATTATCAAAGTGTGAAGCTTAGAAAACTTTTGTTATTTTATTTTTAGCACTTTTCCAAAAATTTTTTGAAAAAAAGTGCTTATTAGTTTCGCTCTGTCCGTCCGTCCGTCCGTCCGTCCGTCTGTCCGTGTGTCTGTTTACAAAACTTCTACATTTTTAAAGATAGAAAGCTGAAATTTAATACGTACATAGATCTTTACTAGAAACTTATTTTTGTAGAACAAAATTTTTACCTATCTCCCCCCCTCTAGAAGTTATACCCCCCCAAAGCACTAAAAATGGCCTATTTTAACTATTTGTTGCAATGAAACCATAAGCATTTTTGAAATTTTGCAAACGCAGAAAGGCTGTGGCTTGCTTCCCCTACCACGGTATACTATAGTTAATTTTTAGAAAAACAAAATGGCCATTCAAATTTACCGTTATCTACAGTCCTTTTTTACCAAATTTTTGATGTCGTTTATCTTCTAGACCCCAGTCTGTAGAAGCTTGAAATTTTAGGGGCTTTTAGACATTAACAAGTAGTTCATTTCGTTAGAAGAAAATTTTTTTCCATCTCCACCCCCTCTCAAGTTATGGGCTCTTGAAATTTGTAAAATTTGCATTTTCGACACCTTATATTTCGGAAACCGCAAGCTTTTTCAAATTTCTATAAACGCAAAAAGTTAACGGTAAATTCCATGATATTAAAAAATATAATTATTTTTCTTAACTCACACAAGTAACCCTTAAAATCGAGCATTATGTTAACCCCTGCTTATATTAATTTTTGCTTTATTTCAAAGACTGCATAAATCGTTCATCCTAAATATATGCAATCCTAGAAATAGTTTTGTATATGAATGAAAAAAATTTTAATAGTGTGATAGGTATACATACTCGTAGACTGTATTTAAAAGCAGAATTTTCACTTGTTGAAGGGAAAAGTGCTACAATACAAACCATTGGTTTGACCCAACTTTATGTATTAATTAAAAAATTTTGAAAAAAACGTTATTATTGATAAAAATTTTTTTTTTCAAAAGTAAAATTTTCTAACATAACAAAGAAAACATAGTATATTTCAACAGCTGTAAGATTTTAAAAGTTTTCAAAGCACTAAATGTTACTTTACAAAATTTTTAACATTGAGAATATGAGAATGTCATAATTTTCTCTCATTTTTGTTCAAAAAGTATTATCCTAGGACGCTTTGTATGCAAAAATTTTATAGCGTTTTTAAAAGTTTTTCAAAACTTTCTTATATCAGACAGACCTATTATTTACTTAAAAGTCCAAAACTATAAAGCATGTACGTTAGTGCTCAAGTTTTTATAAAAAGATCGGATTATAGGTGGACTATTCCACTAAAGCTTGGTTATGGTGGCTTAATAAATACTATAAGTAAGGAATTGCATTAAAAATATTATAATCATTTTTGTTGGATAGTGTTAAAAATTAATCAAATTCTATTTCATAGTAAATATCTAAAAATTTAGAGAACAAAATTTGAGCTTAATGAATTAAAGATAATTGTATTAGTAGTTTTGTTTCAATAGGATTAGTCGTTTTGTTAACTTTATGTACGAACATACAAGTTAAGTGGATCAAATAACCGCTGGACTTAAACACGTTCAAACATGCTTCTATCAAACATATTTCACCGTGATCAAATCTATCAAACATAATCACCGTGAGAAATTTCAGCGTTAAAATATATTTCCACAAAAAGTTCTGACAACATGTCTGCACTTTAGCATGAGAATATTTAGTTTAGGAAAATCACAGAGAATTAAATTTGCTAAGCAAGTAAATTTAATACTATAAATTAGGTAGAACTTAGTTTTGGAATTTAGTCTTAGAGTTAATGGTCATTAAAATTGTGTAACAAAATAAAAATTGTGTTATAAAGTAAAATTGCATTGTGCTATAAACGATCTTTTAACTTTGAAATAAAAGTAATTTTTTTTTAATCAAACTGAATTAAAAATTCGTAACTGGCGCCCGAGCAAAGACAGGGCGTAAAAATAAGTTAAAAACGGTTAAACGATTCGTTGCACGTCAGTGTTCCGCATTAGGCCGGTAGTAAATCTCCAACACTACCTGCTAAAAAGGAAGAATACGGTGCCTCCAACCACGACCGGAGAAAAAAGCAGAACATCTAAGATTCCTGATATAAAATATAATTTCAGCAAACAAACGGGAACAATAGGACATGCGAACCCACAAGTATCATTATTGGCTTAATAAATTAACGCAAGTCAAACGTATAAAACAAAAACAATATGACAACTATTATTTCAGTAAATATAAAAACAATTCTGAAAAAACTTGGAACTACATTAAGGAAATTATAACAGATGGAGCTGCTAAATGTCATAACGAATTTTTCGAAAGTGAATTTTCAGACAATGAAAAACTACAAAAAATTAATAGTTTTAACAAAATGTATTGTAATGTTGGTATGAATATGGCTAAAAATTATGATTCAATTTACTTTCCGCAAAATAGAACATCTTCGAAATTTTTCTTAAACAAAATTAACATCATGAAAACAATTAAACTAATTGATTCATTATCTACATCTAAAAGCAGTGGTACTGACAATACATCTTCTTGGGTTGTCAAGCAATGTAAAAATGAGCTAGCGAATCCTATTATGAAGTTCATTAATGCGAGTATTGAACAATGTATTGTGCCAGACCAACTAAAAATTACTAAGGTAATACCTATCTATAAAAGAACTGGAGATAAGTCAGACATCAACAACTTTAGACCGATTTCCTTAGCATCTACTCTTAGTAAGTTATTGGAGACTTACGTTATAAGTGAACTAAATGAACACCTGAGAAATAACAATCTCGTTTCTGATGCGCAGTACGGTTTTACAAGAAAATCAAACACAAACTCAGCTCTTTTTGATGTTGTTTCTTACATTCAAAACCAGGTGTCTATGAAAAAGAAAGTGTGTTTGGTGTTTTTTGATCTGTCAAAGGCTTTCGACAGAACCACTTTATTAAGGATATTGTTTGAGTGTGGTGTGACAGGTCGGGAATATGCTTGGTTCAAAAACTATTTCAAAAACCGAAAACAATACACAATATGCGAGCAAATTGAAAGTGAAATAGGATCAATTGAATTTGGTGTAATCCAGGGTAGTTCGATGGGTCCAGGCTTATTCTCCTGTTACATTAGCAGTTTTTCAAAACTACAGTTGAATGGCAAATTATACATGTACGCAGATGACATTGTTGTAGTATATTCTGACGAAAAATATGATGACCTGCAACAAAAAGCTAACGAAGACATGATTAAAATAGAGACTTGGATGAAACTACACAAACTCACTGTTAACACGGCGAAAACTAAGTATATGATGCTCAAATCAAACAATAAAACAATTGAAATTAAATACAGCAATTTCATATTAGAAAAAGTATCCTTTTATAAATATCTTGGTGTAATTTTTGATCAAGACCTCGTGTGGAATCTTCAATGTAATGATGTTATCAAAAAAACTAGTAGAATTGCCGGTATTTTCAAAAAAATTGGCAATAGAATACCAGAAAATCTAAAAATGCAAATTTCCTATTGCTTATTTCATAATAAAATATCATATGGCATAGCAATATGGGGTAACACCTTTGTTAAAAACCTGGATGCAATACAAAAAGTACAAAATAAAGCTTTGAAAAATATACATAGATTACATCACAGAACGCCTACAAATGAATTACATAAAAATTATAATGTTTTAAAAATGTGATTTAATAAGTACGTTACAAGCACTCCACATACACAACATTCAAGCTGATAATATCAAATCAAATGTGAAATTAACATCAAACAATGAAATTCATAATTATAACACCCGTAATGCTAAAAATATTCGATTTGATGCTGGATTACACTTACAAGGTTTACAACCTATTTTAAATTCAGGTGCTATTCTGTACAACAAATTATTAAAAATTATCGATTTTAATAACTCCAAAACATCAAAAATAATGAAAAACATTAAATCATTTTTCTTAGAAAAGTATTGAAAACATAAACATTTTTTTAAACTGTTGTAACTTTCAAATTTTCTACCTAGTTTTGCTTTCTCCTTACTTTTTACTTTTTTTTCTTTTTATAAATTTTGTTATATTTTGTTTAAATTTTTATTAAGTTTTTTTTTTTTTTCTCACATTTAGCAATATGAAATTATGACTAGAATTTTTAATATAAAGTCAAATTGTTATACAATATTAAATAATTAATAAGAGAACACTCTGTACGAGCATAGGCTCTTTTTAGAGAATTTTTTTTTTTGAAATAAATAAATAAAAAAAATAAAATATAATAATACTCAATATAGTACTTAAGTAAAAAAATGTTATTTTTTTACTTAAGTACAGGTAAAACAAGTTAAACTAAGATTAAAATTGTATATAAAATTGTGAATAAAATTAAAATTGTCACAAAAAATTAAAACTTATACGAAAATATAATATTACCAAACCAAATAAAATTTAAGGTTTAAAATACAAAAAGGGGTAACGAAGAAATTAAAGATTAGAGTTGGCCTTGTCAACTCCGTGATACCCGTACGAATTTATTATTTTATGTGCGAATAAAGATGCCATAACTGACTATGGGGCAGACTATGACTTTAAGTTGCCATATTACTATATTCATTTATGCAAAATTTCAATGCTATGTGTTTTTAAAAATACTATGTGTGCCAAACTACTATTGAAGTTGTTTGGCAGCTACCAGAAAGAGCCAAGAAATTTTAACGAATTTTATCAAGCACGTGGGCCGTATTAATATATTCGTGTGTGTGAAATTTCAATACCATAGCTTTTATAGTTTCTGAGATATAGCCAAATAACTTTTGAAGTCGTACGATAACTACCAGAAGGAGTCAAGCAATTTCAACGGTTTTTATCAAACACATTAGCCCTACTAATATATTCGCTTGTGTGAAATTTGAATACCATAGCTTTTATAGTTTCTGAGATATAGCCAAATAACTTTTGAAGTTGTATGGCAGGTACCAGAAGAAGCTAAGTAATTTCAACGACTTTAATGAAGCACATTGGCCTTACTAATATATTCGTTTGTGTGAAGTTTCAATATCATAGCTTTAATAGTTTCTGAGATATAGCCAAATAACTTTTGAAGTTGTATGGCAGGTACCAGAAGAAGCCAAGTCATTTCAACGACTTTTATGAAGTACATTGGCCTTACTAATATATTCGTTTGTGTGAAATTTCAATACCATAGCTTCGAACATTCGTTCGTACGGGTATAAACATTATAATTTAAATGAGAGTTAAGACTAATGAAAAAGGTGAAGGTAGTAATACGTCAATACACAAAAAACGTAGGAACCCTACCGCAAGAAAAAAAGAATTGATCCGTGTAATAAAAAAGGAACTCACATTCGCAAAAAAGATCTATAAACTGAAATGTTTAAAAATTGAAAATCTCAGAGTGTAAAATGAAAGCACTAACCGTGGCGATCAACAACCTATCTGACATCGTGAATAGTCAGATAGAACAAATCCAAAGCTTGGAGCAGCACATCATAAATTTGGAACAATACACTATGGGTAAAAACTTAGCACAAGAGCAACAAGCGTTTATCGAAGAGCTGGAACATCGAATCCAACGCTTGGAATTTTCTGGATCCAGCGGCAATCAAACACAAAACCATCACACCTTAGTAATATCAAAAACTGTTGACGACTTGAAAGAAATAAGCTGACTTACGGACAGGTCTAGGAACTGCATTACTTCGAGGGTGACCCAGTTCAATACATATCATAGGTGCATGCCGTAGAGAGCATATTAAGTGACTACGAAGTTGTAAAGGAAAAACCTATATATCAGACCCTGCTGCAAAGCATCAGGCAAGAAATTAGGGGCAAAGCTAATCTAGCGTTAGTATCGTATAATATCTATGATGGAGACTGGGTAACAATTAAGGGATGCCTATCAATGCAATATGCCGACAAGACTCGAGCACCAACTCTTCATGCTTAAACAAGGCAATTCTAGCATCGATTCGTTCGATGCTACTGTGAATCACCAATTTTCACTCATTGTGAGCAAACTAAAAGCGGAAACACACAGCACCGAAGCAATAGCAATGCTTATTGAAACATACAGAAATAAGACACTAGGCACTAGGTTTAAATGAAGAGCTAACAAAAATGTAGATGATTCAACGGCCCAAACACTACCAGAGGCGTTTTTGTTTTTGGACCGATCAATGACAGGGAAATTATAGACACGGACGTAAGGCCGAAAATTAAAACAGCCAACGAAGAACCAATTTACGCTAAACAGTACTAAGAAACTTATTAAAAGAGGACATTATCCGGTCTTTAAAGAGTCCGTATAGCTCTCCCATCTCGGTAGCAAATATAAAATGGTGATTGATTTGAAAAGGTTAAATGCTGTGACTATTCCAGACACTTACCGATCCTGGAATTACCAACACGACTTCAAGTTATGAATAGCTAGATATTTTACAACTATTGATCTCACATCCGGGTTCTATCAGATAAATTGTCGGAGAAAAATATCCCGAAAACAGCATTTTCCACCATGAATGGAACATACGAGTTAATCCGACTAACCTTTGGATTGCGGAACGCACCGGCCATTTTCCATCGGATGATAGACGACGTGCTAAAGAAACAAATCGGCAAGCGCTGCTACGTCTACATAGACGATGTCATTATTTTCGGAGAAACAGAGGAAATACCTCTGGGAAATATCAAAGAAGTGCTCCCCACATTGAATTTCTACAGAAAGAACATCCTCTATTGTACAACAATACGTAACAATCAGTGACAAAGAAGAAACCCGGCGATATATTCTATGGAAGAACATCTCGCGTCAATTGTCGGAATATGCTAAACATCAGAGAAAAGATACACAGTGATCTAACGCAGCAGATCCAACGTTCGCAGCAAATAAAACTTCATCAAGAAAATAGAAAGGAAATAAACCTACATACTTCAAAAAGGGTGAAGTAATATACGTTAAAGACAAACAGATAAAGTCTATGCACAAGCCTATTAATATGTATATAAAAAAGAAACAGTTTTGAAGAACAACAAAGCCACCATCACTACAATATCGGGAAAACGGGTTCACAAACCCCACATTCCCAACACTCCCAACTAAAATTCTTTTTTTTTCAGATCCTATGTGACAACTAGGAATCTAAAAAACTATGACGAAATCAAGAGTTGATACCCCTAGTAAACAATGTTAACGATTCTAGCACTATCAAACCTTAGTTGCCATATTAATTCGATCAAATAATGAATTCCATAATAAGAACTAGAGGAACTCGAAAATCTATTAATTGGATCGGAACAGTTTGGAAGTGGTTCTCTCAATATATTACGAAATTCGTAATATATTGAGAGAAGTTAGCACACTGCCATATTCTAATGACTTCAAAGCAATCGACTAGGCGAAACCAAAGGTGATAATATCTGAAGTATTATTAAAATTTTTTAAGGGAAATTTCTATTTTTCAGTTTTTTAAAACGAATATTGGTTTACGTCGAAAATTATAATTTTTATATTTGATTTTTGTACCTCCTTGAATATTTTCATATATTTTGTAATTTTTGGTATATTTTTTTTAAAAACTGAAAAGTAAAAATTTCCCATCCAAAAAACTGAAAAGTTGAATTTACGAGTAAAAAGGTGAAAAGTAGAAAAATAAAATGTTCACGTTTTTTTGTAGGAATATCGAAGTCTATAAAATAGTTTCTGTTTAAATATTTTTTTTAAATCTTCAAAATATTAAAATTTCAAAATTTTAATTTTTTGTTTTACATTTTGTTTTTATTGTTATATTTACTTTCGATATCTAACCGAAAAATGTTATTTCTGGCTCAGGTGTTGTTAAGAGAACATGAAAATAATTTTTTATTCGCCGTTTTATTTAAACTGAATTAAACTTAAAATTTTCTAATAGCTAGTAAAGTTCAAATTTTCTAATATCAACGAAAATCTCCAAAACAGTGCAAATTTCGGTAAATCAAGAAATTATAATACGTGAACATATATTCATATGCATTATTAAATAAGTATTTCTCATTTAAAACTTTTAAACAATTAGATGTTTTAAATACATTATGTACATATTTGAAATATATATAATAAAAGGAAATTTACCTGATATTTGGTTCCTGGCAGTAAATCACTAACTGTATAAATTCTTTCCGTTGGTGCTATATGGTTCGATATAATGTTCCATTGCGACCTATATGTATATGAGAAATGTTAAAACTAGGTTATTTGTTGAATCGGAGATAATACCTTCCAAGCAAACGACATTCTATTACAAAATATAAAATCCCACAACCACCGTCGCCCCATGAGTCTAACCAGCATGTAACGCTTGTTGAATTATTCGTTATCATTTGAGAATGCTTAGGTTGGACAGGAGCATTTCCTTTTGTAAAAGTGTTAACAATATCACATGGCAAACCAGTCCCAATTTTATTGTAAGCTGTTATATAAAGTTGGTACTTTGTACCGCACCATAGATTGCTAAGTAAATGTGTGTTGGTTTTTGAGTCAATTTGTAATTCTTCCCAATCACCATTGTCGCGTTTAAAATTAATTACATAACCTAAAACTGGACTGCCGCCATGTTTGTTATCGGTCCATTCAAGAAGCAAACTATCTGTAAATGTGCTGACAACAAGTAAACTGGGTGGATCCGGAGGCACTTTTATTATTACATTGTAAACAATTTCATCTTTTCCCCACGTATTTTCTACACTACATGTATAATTTCCAACGTCTGTACTTTGACAATCTTTAATAAATAATGTTCCATTTTTCGCTATAGTCTTTCGTGTACTTGTTTCCATCGCGTGACCATCTTGCCGCCATATTGTTACAGGGGCTGGAGCTCCAACTTTTTGGCATGGAAGCATTAAATTTTCTTTCCACGGAGTGACAACTGTTTGACTAAAAGAAACTATTCTTGCAGGTACTTTTGTATTTGGATGAACCGTCACCACGTCAGTTTTTTCGCCTTCACCTACTTTTGTTGAAGCAGTTAACCAAAATTGATATGTTGCATCTTCCTGTAGTCGTTGAGTTTCGTGCATTTCAACATGTGCCCCGAGAACTCGTTTATGTGAACCTTCTGTTCTACCACCTTCCAATACTGACATGTAAAATGTATAACCGACCTTAAAAAAATGTAATTTTAAGTTTTAAGCTTTATTTAAATTTTGTGAACTTACTATATCTCCATTAGGATAAAGTGGAGGTAACCAAGACACTATAATTTTTGTGCTTGAAGCCGGAATCGCTTTAATTGCTTGCGGAGCTGATGGTACTAAAGTAAATTGGAAAATTCAAAAATTGTTTAACAGAAATAATACCAATTGAAACTTTACCGTCTTCGTGAGTTCGGCAGTAAAAAGGGTTTGTCTTAACACCGTCTCCAATTTTTGTGTAAGCTAATACCCACACGCTGTAATTTGCAAATTTTTTTAAGTTTTCGATTGTTAAATACTGATTGTTTGATTTTACAACTTCGGGATCTTTTTCTATTAAATCAAAGTTTTTTTTGCTAAGTAATGAACACTTATTAAAATTTAAAGAATATACCAAAAAGATCGTCAACTGATATGTAAAAAACTTTATATCCTCTGATTTTCCCATTTTGCCCATCGTATTCAGGAGGAGACCAAGTAATATATATAGATGTAGATCCTAAAACATCACATTGTGGACTCTCTGGTGGCGAAGAAGGAACTGTAAATTTTATGAGTTTATTGAATTTTTCATAGTTTATAGAAATTTTTTATAGTTTAAATTTATAATATTTTCAATTAAAACATACGAGTATACACTATGTTTATACATATACATATTTCTAAGCCCGTTAGGTTTGTAGGAAAGAATATTTGAGAGACTTATTTTGACTGACTACACCAACTTTAAATATAGCCTCGAACTTTTGTCGCTTATATTTTTGTTTTAACTGCCCTTTCGGACGGCTAAAACGAAAACTTGGATCCGTCATCTATTCGAAGTTCGCAAAGCTAAGTTGAGCTTGTTCAAATGGTTTGTCGCAGCATCTGTTAGTTTAATTACAATGATTTTAAGATTCGTATAAAGCGAATTTAATTATCGAATGAACTTCAAAGAACAAAAATTCCTTTAAAGTTTAAAGTGCGTCATAAAATGTAATGTAAACTGTATTTCTGTATTGTAATAAATATTGAAATAATTATTGCAATTCCATTCATGTTCCATTAAAATAAAGTAACATAAGCATAATTCTAATAGCAGTTGTAAATAATTAGTGGAAGCTTCTTTGTTTTGTACTTAATATAAATCTTCTAATGTATTGCCGTTTTTATTCCTGTTCAAAATACATCTTTTATACCTTTAGAATATTACACTTACCATCTTCTAGAGTTTGTACTGATATTTCTTTACTTGGCGGACCACTTCCCTGGCTAGTGTACGATTGAACAATGATATTGTATTGAGTGTATTTATTTAAATTTGTAAGAATTGTTTCACCACCAAAATGCGATCTTACTTCTACCGTTTTAAAATTAAAACCGGTTGTTGGGTTAATTTCTCTATCTTCAGGCTGTGAAGCAATTTGATATCCAATATAATAACCTAAAAGTATACCATTCCAGTTGTCGCGATCCGGAGCTTCCCAAATTACAGAAATTTCCGTTGAACTTTTAGCTTCGCCACGCACATTTAATGGCGGCCCTGAAGGCACTTCCTCTAAGGTAGTTACTTGAATAACCTCTGAAAATTCGGAAGACCCTAATTTGTTTTCCGCAGAAACTCGAATATGATATGCTTTGGCTGGTTTTAAATTTTGAATTGTTACTACAGTTTGTGTTCCAGTTATTGAGATTCTTTCAGCATTCTGCCAAGTATCTATTAAGAAAACAAAAAAGAGAGTTTATAGAAAGAAACTTATATTTAGTAAAGTGTTAAGCTATTTTATTATTTTTAACAACTCTTAAAAGACTTAAACAACCTTGAAAGATAAATATTTGCTTAGTCCTTTCAGGTTTATTTGTTGAATAATAGCTTTTGAACTTTAAATGGCGGCTTAAAATAGTTTTTTGAAAAACCATTATATTGCCTTTTGATATTTTTTATTGTTTGCAATTTTTGGCATATAAAAAATTAATTTTTTGGAAGAAAAGTTAAAATGTTTCATTTTATAGCTACTTCCACCTACGTTCACATATGTATATGCACTTTACATTCAACACGATTTAATCTTGGGCTGTGGCCTGTTAAGATTAAATTAATCAATGTGGAGGAAGTTAACGATTTCACGTTTGGTGAAATTTTTAAAATTTTTAAGACCCTGTAGACATATCATACTTTAATCTAGCCCTATTGCTTTATCCAATTAATTACAACCGTATCGGATGTGTTCGGCCGACTCGAAATAAACATACTGCTAAAGGTAAAATAAGTAATACATCAATTCAATTTTTCAATCAATCAATTTTTCTATCAATTGTAATTTTTTTGGATCGACAAAAAAAATTATGCTGGTTTCGCGTTGGAATTTCTACCCATCCCTAAAATCACCTACGCATCGGCTGTTACAAGAATTATTTTATTTATTTATTTATTATACTTTATTCTCTAAATTATTACAAAAAATTTTACTTAAACTAAGAGAATAAGAAAACGGCATTATTATTTGAAGAAAAATAGTGTAAATGCCTAATTGTGTTGTTAAAAATTATTATTTAAATCAACATTTGCATAATAATACAAATACTCTATAGAAAATTAAGAGCCAAGATTTGATATTTAAATTCATGTAGCCATAAAGAAAAATTTAAAGAAATATAACATTCATTTAATATATATAGTCCAAATCTTAAATTTCTTAGTTGAAGTAGGGTTGAAGTTACTAAAACTTACACTTAAAAAATCTTGCGAAATATAATTTTATGAAAAATTAAGGATTGTTCTGAGAATAATTTTAATTATGTGAAACCAGTTTTATGGAGGTGTACGATGTAAATATTTTTATACATACATAATATGTATGCATTATTTACATATAAAAAATTTCGTTAATGTGTAATTTTATGTAAATTTTTCATTTTAAATTGATTAAAATGAAAAATTAAATCCATTTGAGTTTTTATTAGATTTATTTGGTCTTGAAAGGAATGAATTTAAAACGAAATTCATTCCTTTCAAGCGAATTTAAGCGAAAACTTAAAGATTTAACAAAATTTTATCTTGAAAGATCGTATTATTCTTTTATAGTTTTCTTCACCAAAAATAACACCCCAGTCTCTTTCTTTGTATGCGTCGTTACAAAGTATGAATCAACATTTCACGAAGACACCATGCTAACAATTCCCCCAATTTTAAAATTCTTTTTATACCTGATATTTGCTTATAAAATATATGGTATTCTTCGATTGGACTGTTTCCAGCAAATGGCTGGCCCCAAGTTAGTTGTAAACTCCTTGATTGCTGCGAATTTATTCGTAGATTTTTTGGCTGCTCTGGGACTTCTTGTACTATCAGTTGAATCGACATTTCATCCTTAAAATAATAAATATGCATTTAATGATATGTTTGATTTCCGACAAAATAAAATAATGTGATTACTTGTCCAAATGCATTACTAGCTTGACAAATATAAATTCCAGTATCTTGTCTATAAGTATGTGTTATTCCCAGTTCTGACACCATTCCGTCATCTAAAACTTGTTCCCTTATTGTATATCTAAAATATTAGTAATTGACTAATAAACAACAAAATTTAAATATTTAAAATATTCTATGTACCTTGTGTCAAGTGATTCATCCAAAAGTTGCTGGGTGTTTTGGAGTTTCCACTTTATATCTATAGGGTTATCACCTTGAACATTACATTGAATGTGTACTTGTTTTTGTTTGGCCACAGAAATTTGTTTACTTTTGGTAGTAAAATGGGCAGGTACTTGAAAAATCAATCATTGATTATTTTAATTTTGCATTTATTGCTTCCAAAATTTTTGGTTTAAGAATGTGTCTTTTGCTTACCGTTAACTTTTAAAAAAATAACTTTGCTAACACCTGACCCAATATTATTTTTTGCTTCACATAAAAAATGTCCTTGTGACTCTTTGCTAATTTTTTTGAAGTATATAGAGCCATTAGAAAACAATTGAACACCTGGTTCATATAAAAAATCTTTATATTCTCCGGGACTTACACCTATCGCTTTTTTCCAGGTAACAATCGGTTTGGGGTAACCATCAGATTGGCAGTGTAGCAAAACATTCTGACCAGCTTGAGCACTAGAATCTTTTGGCTCTAATATCCATTTTGGAGGAACATTAACTGTTAAAGGCACTGTAACCCTTTCAGTGCCAGCAACGTTACTGGCAATACATGTATAGTTTCCTGAATGCTCCGAAGAAATATGCTCCACTACTAAACTAGCGGAATATTCGTCTAAGCGTCGAACTACCTCGTTCCTAGGAGAAAATTAGTTAGAACATTATAATGAGATATTATTTGATTCTATTTCAATTGAGACGTCTTTGAAAAACCAATAATAACTAATCTCTTTTTGTTTGTTTTTTACAATTTTCTTGGTTATTCAATTTTTCAATTGTAGAATAACCTAATTTTAGTTTTAACGAAATTGAAGAAGAATTGGATATTAAGTGTTCATTATTCCTTGTCAATGAGTAAACGAAAGCAAATACAAATATTATAATACATATGTACATTATAATTTTAACCATTACAATTATAAAAAAAATTTAAATGTCTCAATTAAAATTAAATCCACTACACAAAAATTTTAAAATTGAAAAATGTACCCCGTTCCTAGTACTGGTTTATTATTTCTTTCAAAGCGAAAACTAACCGGTAAATCACCTTCCAAAATTTGACAAGATATTGCTGCTCGCATTCCTTCACGTAACATATTGGTCATGGCTTGTATAGGCATAATTTTTGGAGGCACTGTAAAGGCATTTTGAAAAAATATTTTGTTTTTAATATACTTTAAAAAATCTTAAAAGATTTATTTTAAAAATCACAATCCAATTAAAACCCTAACCTAAAACCTGTATTTCGACATTGCGACGAGCAGTTTGCTTCTGTTTGTTTTGAGCCATACACGTATAAGTTCCAGCATCATCCAGTCTTTGCAATTGTTCTATAAAAAGAGTGCCGTTGTTATAAGCCCTTTGCCTTCTATTAATTGGTAGAGTTTGTCCATCTGTATGTAAAATATGTTAAAAAATAAAGTAAACTTACTAACCAAAGTTAGTTTTGCTATAAATTTTACCCCTTTCCCAATGGATTTTATCTATTGGGTAACCAGCTACAGGGCACTTCACAATTAAATTCTTTCCAGAAATTCCTGTTATTTTAGGCATTTCCCGAATATATGGAAGACCATAAATATTAACTTTGGCACTGTGAGTGACTCTGTTTTAAATTTTTTATTTAAAGTATATGGTTTATTAATTGAAAACAACGAGATAAGAAATAACTAACTTGCCAATGCTGTTTTGTGCTGTGCAAGAGTATTCACCTCCGTCTTCTTCTTTGACGTTGGTTATATTTACATGACTAATGACATCATCATGAATTGTTACATATTGACCAACAACAAACCTCGAATTATCTGGAATCTAATCATTTTTAAATGCTAAAGTTTTCTAATTATTTTGCGTTGATAATAGAAGAGCAAATGTTAAAATTCATATCGTCAGAAATATTGTCAAAAAATAAATTAGTTTTTCTACTTTCAAAGTTATATTAAAGTTACAGTTTTTACTTTTTTATTCGTGTGTTAATTACTATAGTATTTAATATTATTTAAATAGTTTTTAAGAAATATTAACGGAAGAATTAATTTAATTAATTCAGTAAAAGTGAACAATATTGGAAAAATTAAAACAAGTTAAAATTAAGATAAAAGTTTAACATAGAAGAGAAGAAAGAGTTAATATTGAGTTGTTTTTAAAAGAGTTAATGGGTATAATCGGAAAGTAATCGATGCAGCATCGAAGTGTAATCATGTAAAAATCATGTAAAAAAATGCATCAATACGGAAATACTTTAAAGTTTGGCGTACAAAAATGTCAAAAATACGCATCGTATGCGCATTTTATTAAATCAGCTGTGCATCAATTGCTTTTGTGATTTTGTATGATGCAAAGTTTTTTTAAATGGAAGCTGAGAAGTCAATAAATAATAAAGTAATATTTATTGAGTTAAAATAATATTTTAGTTTCACTACATAAGGAATAGTAATGAGGCAGAATAATTCATATAAAGTAAATCATGGTATTGTACATTATTGATGTATAATTTTATTGGTGTTACGGAATCGGAATACAATTTTTTCTGTGATATTTTATTGTTGATATAATCTGCATGGAGATCTAGATTAAGCTGATCATCAGTTTGTAACCTTGTATTGCCCATTCTCATATGGATTCTATCACAAGTTCAATTCTTTAATACAATACAGTTAGTTTTGTCTACGGTTAACTTAAGTATATTCATGCAAAGCCAGTTAAATAAGTTCCCTTGTATGTTTCGCCCAACAATGTCTTAGCTATTTTGTTTTGATAATAGCAAATTGCGCTATCTGTCCCGCGTTTTACTTTTATTCTACTGATTTTTGAAAAGCATGGCAGGACATAATCTATCAATTCACAGGTTCTCATTAAGTTCGAATTCTTGTTTGCAAATACTCCAATTGAATTTTTTTCATATATTATGATTGTTCCAGTTGCCTTGAAAGTGAGTTGCATATATTCATGAAATGACATTTTAGTAAAATTTGTTGTTCATCAATGTCATAAGATAAAGTCGCTAAACAAAATCGCTAAATAAAGTTCAAAAAATTTTCGATACATACTATTCCTTTGCCATGTATGTATGTTTTAATTATATGCTTTGGTATATACTATGTTCCTATCTCTTTTATGATGGTTAAAATGTTTAGTTAAATAATAGCGAAAAATAGGGTCTTTATCTCTATTTTTAGCTATGATTTACATAAAAATTTCAACTATAACCAGTGGTCAAAGTGGGATACTCAAAGTGGTGGGATGGTAAAAAAAAAATAAAAAAAAGTATTATTTTAGTTATTTTTTAAAAAAATAACTAAGCAAAATTTACCAAACTTTGGAAGTAAACTAAAGAGAATATTTTATATTCAAAATTATATCAACTAAAAATTGAATCAAAAACTGCAAATTGTTACCAAAGAAATGCATAGACTACTATGCAGTAACGAAAATTTCATTAATAGAAAAAAATTATACGTTACTATTTGAAATTGGTCTTATTTAAAATTACATATTATATTTAATTTTTTGTTAAAAAAATTTTTAAAATTCATTAGAAAATTTTCTTGAATTTAAAAAAACATGTTCCGGACCGCATTTTTCTCTCCTATTAAGTGGTGGGATGGGTTTCCAATTATTTAAAAGTACTGGGATGGCATCCCCCTCCATCCCGCCTCACTTCGAACACTGACTATAACAAAATAAAAAAAAACTTGATAAGCTACATAAAATTGAATTCTATTCAAAAAAGTAGTTTTGAAAAATAAAATGGATGTATAAATAGTAGTAGAAAATAGAATTACATGTAGAGTTGCATACATTTTATAACTTTACTATTCAACTTTCATCAATCAAATCTGTTTTAACGCTTATTGTAAAGCAAACCGATCAAAGAAATGTGATAAAAGCCAAATGTGTTTAAACCCTTTAATAACTCAAAAAGTTCATGATATTGTTTAATGGCTCAAAAAGTTCTATCATATAACTACATTACGTCATTAGGAAAACTAAAGCTATAAAACGAAGTATGTTAAAGAGAAAGACAACTTTAGGATTCAGAAATAGCTGTTCCTAAAAAGCTAATTTAAACATAACCTAAAGTAAAATTAATGTTTACATGAAATCCATCTAGAGTCCATACAAACTGTGGCGGTGGATTCCCTGTTGCTACGCACTTTAATGAAACTGTTGGCCCTGGCTGTAATGTTTGTTCCGAAAACCAATATAATAACTCAGGAGAAGCATCTATAGAGATAATTTAATAAGGTCCAATCGTCAATTAAAAAAACTTATGTGAACGTACCACCTAGTTGTAATTCAGCTGTTGATTGTACTTGTTCCCACTCATTTGAAACGAAGCATTGAAACATCCCTTGATCTTCCTTTTGTATTTTTTTTATAATCAGTCTTGGAGGATCTGAAAATATCTAGAAAGAGAAATACTTTAAATATTAAAGGAATAATAAAAAAGTTTAATAATTTTTTTGCCCAATATTTTTTTTTACCGTTATTTTTTTTTAAATTAAAATATTTTGTTTAGTATTTAGAAGTGAATCTAGTTTAAATTACTCGAAGAAGTGATGTATTCTTAGATCTTAAACTAGCAGAAGTTTTAAAAAAGAAATTTATTTTCGTCCCAAGAAAAAAGAATTAAAACTAGAATGTTACAAAGATGGAAAACTTATTTTCTTAACCTATTAATAATAAGTTTTCTTTAAAGTGCATTTTGTATTATCATATATGTATGCATGTGTGTTTGCACTTTCCCCATAATAAAGTGTGTATACATTTTCGAATTTGTCTATTTTTATCTTTAAGATTCTTGAACAAATAACTTTTAAAATAGTTTTAATACCTCAATTCTGTTATCTCTGAGAATGGGTTTTCCGTCATGTACCCAATTTATATTTTGTATAGGATGACCTGTGACAATGCATTGGAATTGTGCATCTTTGTCAACATCGATTGTTTGAATTTGAGGTTGCAAATGCGCTGTAAGTGGAGCTGAAAAGAGTTGTTGGCACAAGTTGTATCACAAAAGTTTCTGATTCGTCGCAATTCTTAAATTGTACAAGATTTAAAGTTTTTAAATTAATATATAATTTAGTACAAAGCGCTTAAAAGAAACTCATTTTGTCATTAATTTTTATGCAATAGAAAGTACCCTTTAAAGAAAATTCAATAAACACGTTGATATTTATAAAATAAAAAGATGTGCGCATAGGAGGTTTTTAGTATTTTCTATGAGTATTTCTTATAACCGTGTTGTACTGTAAATTATACCTATTTTTTTACTTAAACTTACCTGTTACTGTTAAAGAGACTTGAATAGTTTCTTCGCCGGCGGTATTGTTTACCCAGCATAGGTATTTACCACTGTCTTCTAAGCGAGCCTACGCAATAAATATATTTCAAAATTTATAATTAGTGTGATTCCAAACAAAGCTCTAAAAGTATCTTCAAATATGAAAGAACGCTATTTTTAATATTTAGTTCAAGATATAGGAAAGGTAGTATGCTATGGTAGTTTCCTTGACAACAACATTGAAAAAAGAATTTATTTTTCTGTAAACTTTTAAATTTTAATTTTCCTTTAAAATTTTTTCATAAATTGTTTTGGAAATAGTATTGTCATGAAGCAAGTAACTATTTGGAATATATCATAATTTAATGGTAAAGTTATAATAGTGGGAATAGAATGCAGTCTTTACGAAGATTTTATAAAGATGAAACGTTGGTCGAATGACAATTTTTGTTACATTTTCATTTTTTTTAAACTATTCCAATATGATATGGAAGAAATTACCTTCATTATTTTGAGCAGACCTGCTGATATCATAGTGATACGTTCACTAAGTTGAAGGGGAAGTAATTGCTCATGATCCTCCTTAAACCACCTAAAAAGTAAAATAAACAAAATATTTTAGTCTCTATGTTTCATTATTTAAAATAAATATTTTTCCAAAATAGAAAATTCAACAAAATCGAAAATCATGTTTGGTGATTCTATACAGCTACAGCTATTTGAAAATTTAAAATCATAATCAGTATATCCGCTGCAGCGAACACTTTCTCTGATACCGGGTCACCATAGAGAGTATTTTGACCTTACCATGTCTATCGGGGCTCTGACTTAGCGGACTACCTTTTCACTATTTGCTGGTGGGATAAAAAATGAATATACAACAAAAGCAAAGAACACAAACGGGCGCACGGGAAAACACCGGCGGGAAACAACTAAAAAGCAGCAGCAAGGCAAGGCAAGCAACAATCTTCTAAGCAATATCAGGACCACCTCCGTAACGCTCACATTCGTGTGGACATGAGGAATCTCCCCTCTGCGTCCACTCAGCAACCTGGGATTTCCGCAAGATGTGGAGATTGGTGATGGACCGGCTCCTTGATGAAATGCTTCCTCACGAAATTTTTTGTTCAAGATTATACTGATGATATTGTAATCATGCTAGGGGAAAATTTGAGAAAACTCTCTGTGACATTTCCAGGTTACCATCGAGGTGCTGCATTCGTTTCCAATATCCTCCGCTGCACTATATTGCTGTCTTCCGAAGCCTAATGAATTGGGAAAGTACAACCAAGTCACTTTGTTCTGGATGCCAGGCCTTGGGGGCGCGGAAGGAATTGAGGCAGCTTATGCACTGGCGAGGAGGTGGGCAAACACACTTCCTCAGGGTGGGAAACCTTCTGCTGAATCAAGCCACATACTATTCGTTGAGAACTAAGAACGGTGGCTGCGATAGGGCAAGAAGCTTCTGGGAGAATATGACCAGACGCGATTCAAGAAGATTATAGGGATGAGCAAGAATCAGGTGAAAATTCTCACTGGGGTCTTGTCGGGCCACAGCAGACTTGGGCAGCAGAGGCAGATTCCAGTACACTTTCTGGAAGAGTGTGTTGCTATCGCTCGCGGAGGAAGATAAATACTGGAGGATTTCACCCTCACGGTGGCGGATGTACGGTCTCACAAGTTGTTCGAATACATGAGGGCTGCGGATCTCAAGCGAGTGCTATGGGACCATGTCTCTGCACTCAGGAGGGGCCACAATAGATCCTAACGCGTGATGGCTGTGCGCTGTTATCCCGGTTTACAAATCTACAATTTACAACCAAATGCTATTGATTGATTATTAGTATTTTGCCTTGGAAACAAGCTTTTTATCATTTATTGGACCTCAATAACTTAGTTCCATTACTCTTCTTAGCCATCAGTATCTAATAATTTAGAATAACTACGATTATAATGATTACTTATCCATTTTCTTTAAGCGCAACTTTGATTATTTTTAAAAAATAAAATTCTAATTCTATAAATTTACAATTCGAGTTCAATCGTCTTTTTTCTAATAAAATTCACTATTTTCTAAATGATAGTGTAAAAAACTAGATACTTGTAATAAAATAGTAAGATAGGTCCAGGGAGATTTTATTACAATAATAAATATATTTGAACAATGGTATACCATCAAATAATCAGAAATAGATTAAAATATTACTAAAAAATAACTTTCAAGCTTATCAGCTATTAAGACACATATATTTTATGTTTTAAACAATAATCGCAAAATTTCTACGCGTTGATCTTTTTGTAGCTAAAACCTCCCTTCCAAAAAACGTAACATAAAAGGTGTTAGAAAGGGTTAATCCTCTGAAACTGTTACTCTGAAATCTTACAAATAGTCTCAAACAGTTAAAATTTGAGGAATATATTAAAATTTTTAAGTTTTTGTGTAGCTAATTTTCGGAAAAAATTTTTTTGGGAGAACATACTTGTTGAGAAAATTATGTTTCGACATTTCTATACGTATAAGAATTTAGAACTCTTGAAGAACATTGCTACCTCCTCAAAACTTAGAACTCATCTTAACAATAACCAAGATACTAAATTCGAATTAAAAAAATTTCATTTACAGAATTTATTATTACAATTAGAGTATATCAATTTTTTTTTGTATTACAAATTGGTTTACATCAAATTTGTCCAAAGAGCATGGATATATAGTAGGCGTAACCATGATTACCAACCGCATTGTGTATACAATAGGTAGGTTATATTATGGTAACAAATTTTGCATATCCAGTTTTCGGTGGTAGTTTCGCATTTCGCCATGGTAGGGAGGTGTAAATAAACTATTTTTAGCAATCTGCCGGTTCGTCCATCTGTCGGTCTGTCTGTCGGTCTGTCGGTCTGTGTGTACACGCGTGTATATGTAAGTTTATTTCGACTGTGTCACGGATTGATCAACTTTTGGGATGTATCAAGCCTCGGGAGCTGCACTTTTTAGCGGGCCTGTTTTGTATTTTTGATCATTATGAAGAAAACATTCAACCGGGAAATGTAAGCTTCGCTCGACCGTCCGCAGAACCTTCTAACTTTTGGAAGAAATCAAGTGTCAGCAACTGGAGGCTTACTACGGGCCAAATATACGTTTTTGCGTATATGAATTGAAATAAGCAACCGACTTCATTGAAATTTAATATTTAAATTTTTTGTATTAGAACATTGAACATATAAATTTTTTTGAAAGATAAGGGCTCGGAAACTGATCTGAGGACCAGTTTTACATTTTTTACATTATCTACGGAACGAATTGATGGAATTTCTTGAAATTGGATATTGTTACCAAAACTAACTGGGGGCATTTCAGGGAATTCGAGTAGCACAAAGCGAAACTCTACTAAGAGCCAAATTTACATTTGTCTAGATATGTTAACTATAAGCTTACTAATGCCCTAAAAATTGGAAAGAAGTATTTAACAGGCATTTTTATAATATTCTGTAACACTTTCACTTAACTAGGTAATACACGTTGCGATCGGTTATGTGCTGACCATATCAGGTTGTTTTTTATTCAAGCTATTTTAAATAATATTTTAAAAATAAAAACTTTTTACTTATTTTTGCAGTCTTTCTCATATCCAATTCAGTTGGCTTACACAATTTCAAAGCTTTAAAATTATTATAGCTTTATTTTACCTATATGTTGGAACAGGATGACCTTGGGCAATGCATGGTAGTGTAATTTGACCGTTTAATACAACGTGCCGTAGAGAATGTTTTTCAACATTTATACGCGGCTGAACTAAACCTTTTGGTTCTGTAACGATTATTCTACCTGGATAAGTAGAAACTTGAATTTCACCTGAAAAATAATATTAAAATTTAAAAATTTATTTTAAAATTAATTTGAAAATAGGAGTTTAGTAAATATTAATATTTTAAGCTTAAGAATATTTACTTTCTAATTTTTGGCGCAATATAAAAATAGGGTTTACTTAACTTTTCTTGTAACGATAATTTATTTTAATTTCTTCCATTATTTAAAACAATAAACTGGTCTTAAACAGTGTGCTCAAAATGTCGTTATTTAAATAGAAATTTTTGTGCATTTAACAAATTTTCGCACTTGATTTGATTTAAATACTACTTTATACTTAAAAAAATAAAAACTGGGCTTGAATTTTCCCTTTGCCGTATAGCATCATAATAATGATTTACTTTATTATTATGATGTTACACTAATTTTACTTAAATGCCGATTTTTTATTATGATATTTAACTAATACCAACCTGTTAACCTATTAACTGTTCTACAAGTATATGTTTTATATGCATCTATCGTACCGGCATTGTTGATATACAATTCACCATTTGATAAAACTGTATATTTTCCTCCAATATCCGTATTAGGATACAAATGCATGCCCGAATCTTGAACCCATGCGGTTACCATTACAAATTCGGACATGTAACTAGGTACCTGTAAGAAAACAAAATTTTAAAAATATTGGTATATTTTAACATATAAACATATTTTCATATTTTCATTCATACTTTTTTTCTTGCAACATGTAATTTTTTTATTTCAAAGTGTTTTTTATTTCAAAAACAAAATTTTTGAGTAAAATGCATAATTCAATTTAAATTTTATTTTGCCAAATTTATAATTTTTCAAGTTTTACGGAAAATTAATATTCTATTTACAATGTCCTATCATACTTTGGCGCATGACTTACCTAAAATTAAATTCGGCAGAAAGTAATTTAATAAAGTAAATATATAAAGTAAAATATTTAAACTTAAGAAAACGTAATTTTTGGGTTATTCGAAGCCGAAACGATCTATCATTTTGTCGTTTTATTAATTAAATTTACATACATATGTAATTGAACATAAAATTATAAATACATATAGATAATCAAAAGCAAAAATGTAAATAAGCGATTTTTATTTATTATTTTATTAATATTGTAGACAACAATATTAATAAAAAAATTAATTTATGAAGACATTAAGACAAGTTTACAAGGACTCCAAACATTATTTCGATCCATAAAAGCGATAAATTTTACGGTTCTTTTATTTTTTTAATTCATTTGTTAAGGTTATTTTATTTTGCGTTAATTTGCATCTAAAAATATTTAAAAAGATTTTTAAATAAATATATTTTCAGGTTTAATATTTGATAAAAAAATCTACAAAGAGGGAAGTTTTTGAAATAAATTTTATTAAAAATATATTTCCTAAAATTTGTAGAAATTCCATGTATGTAAACCTTCCCCATAGCCATTTAAAAAGGTACTGAGTTGAATTATAACAGAAAAATAAAAACAAATTTTAAATTGGAAAATTTTCAGAGGGTGAATTTACCAAACTCTAAGCATATTTTTCATTTATTAGAAAAAATTACTGAAAACATTTTTATATTGAAGCAAATATTGGCTATTTTAAATAATTAGTGGTAACTTAAAATTAAAACAAAATATCTCCGAAAACTGTGAAATCTGCAAAAACAGTATGTTCGATAAAAATATGCAACCTATCAAAATTGGATTCTTTGCGAAATTGCTGTGCATTAAATCCGTTTTAGCTTTGCTTGACTATAAGAAGCTTTTATCATATAAAGAAAAAATTATTTCTATTTTGGCTAAAAATATTACGAGTTATGAAATGTTTTATTTTCAAACCCCAAATATGACTTTCAGAATGGTTTATAGCCACTTTAGATATGCGTTTTTTCAGTGTAACTAATATAATTTAACAATAAATCTGCAAAACTAAAATTTTTTATTATTAAGGATCTACAATTATGCAAAAAAATATTTTTAAAATTTCAGTTAAAAGTTTCAGTTAAGAACCTAAAGTGGATCAATTAAGTGCCTATAATTGTTCGTTTCTACTTCCTCAATAATTTTCTTTCAAAGTAAAAAATTATTTCTATAGAAAATAAATTAAGAAAAAACATACGAATTATATCGAAGTTTACCTGATTGAAGCAATTCAGAAAAATCTCTTAATGCGGTAGCCTAACACTAAGCAAGGCCACTGTTGCTAGTTTTATTCTATTTTTCAATAGCAAACAAAAAATGCGAGGATAGTAATTTAAGTTCATCATTAACACCAAATAAAAAATAATGATTTTTTCAAGTTTGTTCTTTTTGACATGTGATTAAGAAAATTCTAAATTTTATTTTCTATACAAATTTGTAGGTGTCACGCGCGTACCAGTTATTTGTTTAAAATTGATTTCAAATCAAATTTCTTTTATGAAAACAATTATATTTTTCGACAATTAACAACAGCTTTGGAAGAAAACTTTGGAATGAAGTGACAGAAAAAAAAATTAAATATATAACAAGAAAATGTATTGCAAAGCGATGGAAGGAAGTAATTTAATTTATATTTGTGTTTTATAATTATAAAATACAATTCTGCAAAAGCATTTTTTTGCTTTATACAGAATTTTATTAACGATTTTACGGAATTATATTAAAAAACAAAATTTCAATGAACTAAAATCTTTGAACGTACCCGCGTTACAGAATATTGTAAAAATTTAAGTAGAAATTTAAGTAGAAATTTTTACAGAATATTGTAGAAATTTAAGTGAAAGTGCTACAAAATATTGTAAAAATGCCTGTTAAATACTTCTTTCCAATTTTTAGGGCATTAAGTAAGCTTTAACATTAACATTCCTAGAAAATTGTAAATTTGGCTCTTGGTAGAGTTTCGCTTTGTGCTACCCGAATTCCCTGAAATGCTTGCCATTTAGTTTCGGTAACAACAAGAACTCAAATATCATTTTTCAAGAAATTTTATCAATTCGTTCCGTAGATAATGTAAAAATTGTAAAATTGGCCCTCAAATCAGTTTCCAAGCCCTGATCTTTCCAAAAAATTTAGAGATTCAATATATGAAGAATTTTTATACGAAGAATTTAAATATTACATTTCAGTGAAATCGATTGATTATTTTTCGTTATATAGGCCAAAATGTATATTTGGCACATAGTAAATATCCAGTTGCTGACATCTGAATTCTTCTAAAAGTTAGGAGGTTTCGCATACCGACGAATGAAGCTTATATATGAAATTTCAAATAAATCTGTTGAATGTTTTCTTCATAATGATCAAAAATGTAAAACAGGCCCACTAAAAAGCCTGGTTTCCGAGGCCTGATATATCTCAAAAGTTCCGAGGCCTGATATATCAATCAAATAGTCGAGATAAACTTACATATAAAATTTCATCAAAATCTGGTCAGCCGAACTTGAGATACACGCGTGCACACACAGACCGATAGACCGGCAGGTTGTTAAAAAAAGTTTATTTACACTTCCATACCATGGAAAAGTGCGTTCATACCGAAAACTCGATATGCAAAATTTGTTACCGTCACATAACCTGCCTATCGAATGCAGAATGCGGTCAGTAAAAAATTAAAGAGACTTCGATATAACGCGCGATTTTAAGGTTCAGACGTGTGTTGGGTATTATATTTTTTAATGACATAGTTTACCGTCAGCTTTCTTCATTTATAGAAATTTAAAAAAGCTTGAAGTTTCGGATATGTATTTCCGAAGATGCACAAAATTAAAATTTTACAAATTTTGGGCGGCAACAACTTGAGAAGGGGTAGAGAAAGAAAAAAAAATTATTTTAACGAAATGAATAGTTATTAGTGTCCAGAAGCTGCTAAAGCTTCTGACACCTTAAACTTGAGGTCTATAGAAAAAATCAAAATTTGAAAAAGCGGATTTTAGAAAACGGTTTAAATATGACATTTTTAGGGTTTTTGCGCGCTATAACTTTTAGAGGGGAGAGAGGTAAAAATTTTGTGCAGAAGTAAGTTTCTAGCAAAAATTTATGTTCAGATGCAATTTGTGCTTTCTATCTTCAAAAGCGTAGAGGTTTTGTAAACATGTCTACGGGCGGACGAATGAATAGAGTGAAACTAATAAGCCCTTTTTAAAAAATTTATTGAAAAAGAGCTAAAAAGTAGAATAGTAGTGAAAATAACAATAAGTGACCAGAGTGCATTAAATCACAATTTTTTCTTTATTCAAGAAAATTTCTTTTGAAATTTAAGAACTTAAAATGGAAAATTTTAATTTGAAGTGAATAAGCTCTGGTTTGTAAATTTGAAAGATAAAAAATATAATTTCAACAATTTGTTAAAAAATAAACCAAAAAAAATGAATGCAAATTTAAAAAAGGATTTTACTTTCACTTAATTTTCAAACACAAAAATTTGTTTGTAATAATGGAAATCGGTAAGATTTTTTAAAAAATTTTGCATATATGTACAACATTTTGAGAAATAACATGTTGAAAAATATTTTATTAAAATAATTAATTTACAGCTATTAATAATTAATAACAGTATAAAAAAATATAATTAATAATAATTAATTTAATTTTTTATAGATTATGAATTCTTTGCATTTCTTACGTTTTCTGCTATGACAACAGAACAATTACTTTTAATGTAAGAAAAACTAAAATATCAATAAAAAGTTAAATTGGTTTTTGAAAATGTTTTTACATATTGTAATTTAAGGCATTGTTTATGGACAACCAAAATATTGCTGTTCAAACCCGGCAAGTTTTAAAATTAAATCATCACACTATTAAACATATCGAATCAATCCAAAGCTTTATTTGTATTTAAATCTAGAATTTATTAAATTCAATTCGATGTTTATTCCACTTACTTGACATTTCAAAACTGCAGTGTTGCCAGTCATAACGTATTCATCGTGTACATTGACCGAATATTTTTGATTTACAACTGTTCCAAAAAAAAGCAAAAGAATAATTAATAAATATGTATATATTTTGAAAATTCATAATTCAATTTTTAAATTTCAATTTAATTTTGAAATTCACTTTCATAGTAAAATACGAATTAGGAATTTTAGTTTTTATTAATCTTTGCAACCGGTCATCATCGATGATCATAAAAAAAGCTTCCCTCAGGGATCAAAGCGTCACCGGTGAAACATTCCACTTTCATACCCTAGAACATCAAACATGTTAGTGTTGCAATACACACACTATAAATATTTCCACAGTGTCATTTCCCATCCAAGTTTCCTGTATTACAATCCAAATTTAGATATTATTGAATGCGGAAACATATCTTTTCTTTTTAAATATATTCGGGTTGCTTTCTATAGCCACATATAAGCTTATATCTGTCTGCATAGACACATATAAGAATGCAGATCTTCGTTTGTAGGCAAATAAATTGTTTCCTAATGGAGTTTAATATAGTAACCGCTTTAGAAGACAGTGACTGTAAAGCCAAAATGCTGCTTTTCGCGATTTTTTTTAAAGCAAGCTTTGCTATGAATTTTGCTATGTCAGATATAGCGCTCCTTTTAGAAATTCCCTCAGAAGGTAGTGCAATAGAAATAGGCTATGTAAACCTAAAACCCGTGTAAACCTAGCAAACTTATTCACAGCATTTTTAGTTCAGATACCACAACTGTTTAAAAAATTTATTTTGTTTCATAATTTTCAAACCGTGCACTTTTTGTTCTAGCTTCAAATATGAATAATTTTCAAAATTTCCAATTTTACTTATTTAACATGTTTGGTAACTAGTGCTCTCACTTTTAATTAATTCTGTCGTTAATCATAAACAGCAGTTTTTCTATTTATTTCTGGGAATGTTTTATTTCAGTCTCTTTTTGCAATATTTTTGACGTCAGTATTTTAATTTTCAGAAACCATCTGGTACTTTACGCCCACAACAACACGCGAATTATTGTGTAAAACTGCATTTTTGTTTTTTCTTGTTCAGTAACGCAAAACTATTATATTTCATTCCGAAAAATATTGTCACAAAAGACTTTCACTATTAATAATGAAACCATTTTGTAAATATAATATATTAAAGATGTGAAACTTTTAGAATACACAAAAAAAAGTTTTATTTTCAAAAACATTAGTCAGTAATTTTAACCAATTTAAGAATTTTTCTCGATTTTATATATATTGGAAGAGTTGGATATGCTTAAGATATTACACATTTTAGCAAATTAAAAATTGATGTATGATGCAAAAATTGATATACACTTACCTCCACGCATATGCACTTCTCTACTTAAAATAGTCCCAACAAGATTTTTCAATTTACATCTATTTATAAACAAAAGTAAGATAATTATTAAAATCATTTCATGATAATAAATTCAAATAATATTAGCTATAATATGTAAAATAATATTGGCTATATGTAATCTCAGATGTGTAAATATACATATGAGTGCAGAAAAATCAAAGCCCATACAGACTAACAGGGATGCTATATTTGAGTAGTCAAAAAAATCTTTTATATTATATTAAATTCACATACAAAAATAAAATACAAAAATGTATTTTTGCTGCAAAAAAAATCTACTGCAAGGAATGAGTTTTGAAATCTGGTTTTTGAAAATTTTCTCTTCTTTTTTTTCGTGATTTTTGGTAAACTTGGTCAAATATATTATTTGAATGCAATCGTCGTTTTTCAGAAATGTCAGAATTCATATAGAACACACATATTTAAATGGGACTGTCCCGAATCAAGCGAAAATCTCGCAGTGAATTTCACCGCCGACTGTAAAATTGTCAAAATTCCCATGTAACCGCTGACGGTTTTTTTTGACATTGTCTATTTCCATGTGTATGTGTTGTTGATCCTAAGAAAATAGTTTTAACAGTTGTTTTAAAAATAAAATCAAATGTGGGTGCTGAACACATTATAACGTTAAACAACTTCTGAATACGAGAACATATAAGAAATTGATATGCTCTATATATCGCTTCGAAAATTTCATGGAAACAAAAAAGAAATTTAAAAACTTACTTTCAACAGATTTTACCATCGTGAATGCTTAAAAGAGGAAATAATAGATATAATGGATCAAAAACAGCAGCATTTTTGTATGTGAAAAAGAAGAAACAAAGACTCCTAAAATTTCATTCTACAAGGGCATCAATTTTATCAGAAATAGTTTTCAATAAAATATCTATCTTTTACATATATATTTTAATATATTTTTTTTAATAACGGTTAATATGGCTAATAATTCAGCAAATTAATATGATTTTTTTATTGCTAACCTATTAAAAAAAAACAAATTTTTCTTTTTATATTTAATTAATCACTTTTTTAGTTAACAATATTTTAAATGAGGTTTAATATGACAATGTGAAACGTTTTTAATATTGTCAATTAATATTTTAATTGACGTTTAAATTGACAAAATTGTTAAAATTATTCTAATTTCCAAATAATATTGAACTAAAATTTTATGCAAAAATTAGAAAAGCTTTTTTCGAGCAAAATAATATAGTATGGTAAATTATTATTAAATTTTTCATTTGCCTTGTTATTTAAATCAATTTTGTTAATTAAAATGTTTCAAATATCGAAAATAGACATGAATCAATCGTATTAAAATTTAAACATATTAAAAAGTAAACACTTTATATTTAAAATTTTTTATTATTTATTATATGTTTTACTATGTCTTGAATTAACTTTTTATTTAGAAATTATAAAGGTTTTTTTTTGAGCGAAATAAAATATGTAAAATTGTTATCAAAATTTTAATTTATTTTACTATGTTTTTAATATATATCTTGGTACTTAAAATATTATTTAAACTAAAAACTTTAAATGGTCAAAAATCAATCGAATCATAAATTTTCAAACTTTATTTTTTTTTATCATGAACACTATTTTAAACTAACTATTCACTTGAATATTCAAAAATATTTAAGTAAACCAAAACCAAAATGAATTTTTAATTTTTCGTATCATATTATTGATATTTCAAATATTTCTTAAATTAACAAAAGACAAAAAACAATCAAATAAATTAAAAATTCAACTACTGAAATAAATTAAAAATTTTTAAAACACCATTTTAAAACACCATTTTTTCACTTTGGACAGTTTTACCATTTTTTTATTTCCAACATTTTTTTACTAAAAAATCACTTGAACAACAAAAGTTATATATAATGAATTCTGCACTTTTTTATTTTCTAAAACAAAGATAAAATTTAAAAGCACATTTAAATAAGAAGTTAAAACAAGTAAAAACGTTTCAGTCGGTATAAACCGACCGAGTTATACCCTGCACGTAAGCAATCTGAGTTTAAAATTTGTTTTTGAAATATCTAGAATTAGCTCTCAGTTATTGGACACACAACTGCCAAGTTTCATGTATCTAACTCTATAATTTTTTTGAATTTTTAAATTAGCTTTTCTAGTTCCGTGGCAGCTTTTCAAACCTGTTAGGCCATTCCATTAAAACTTCAGGGACATGTGTGGGCTGATATTGGACATACGATTGCCAAGTTTCATGAATCTAACTCTATTATTTTCACAAATTAAAATTTGCTTGTGGAGTTGTATGGCAGCTACCCGAATCTGTCATTCCAACGAAACTTCAGGAATATATTTGAACAACAATCGGACACATGACTGTCAAGTTTAATGAATCTAGCTTTATTATTTTTCCTAATATTTAAATTTAGCTGTTGGAGTTGTATAGAAGTTACCCGAACCAGTGCAGCAATTCCATTAAAACTTTTAGAAAATATGTAGAGTATAATTGGACACATCTTTACAAAATTCAATATTGATATCTTTATTAGTTTTTAAAATATTTAAAAAAACCTCTTTGAGTTTTATGGAAGCTACCCGAACCCGTTGTATTGGACCCCACAAATTGGCCCAATTACAATAGCAGCCGTCGTTTGCGCAAAAGAAGCAACTTGTGAAAGTTTGATGAGAATTGCTTTATTCGCTTTTGAGTTATCGCGCGATTGGCCGGACGGACGGGCATGTCATAACTCGAACTCGATTACGGCATGGCTTTGTTATTGCTTTTATAATTGCATTATTTGTGGCTCAGAAAAAAAACAACGTTGTTTTTTGTCTTACTCATTCTAATTAAAACCACTGCTACATTTGTCAGTGAAGATTTATTTTTATTATTTTATTATTATAATGAGTTTTCCGAACATTGATGGATGCGAGTCCTATTAAGAAGGCCTCTTACAATACTAAAATTGTTTTGGACTATAATACCTTGTTAGAGATCATGCGTGGGTTGAGTTGGAACCCATTGAGACTATTAATAATCTTCGTTTAAGCCTGGCCTTAAAAAATCGTGATTCCTTCTACAAATTACATACTTAAATTTCAAAAAATTAAGACTTTTTCAAATAAAGAATTATTTGTGGTTGTGTAAGTTACATATATGTATATAGCAAAAAAACTTGCACAAAAATATCAACTCATGCAAGTTATTATGTTTGGCAAATAACTTTTACCTGTACACAGTGGCGTGAACCTCGTGCCGGTATTTTTCTGCTGTGAATGGATAGAACATTAGACTACCGTTTTGTAGAGTGAAGACTAGATCCTGCGACGATGGTATCGTTGTCCATTCAACCTTTAACGAAATTAAATAATAATATAAATTTCATAACTTTTATAAATATTTTGCAATATACATATGTAGGTATATATGTAAGTAGAAACTATAGAAACTCGCTCTAGGAAAATCTTTTTACATTAAAAATGGACTCTCCATGGAAATGTAAGCCACCATGGAACCTTTAACTGGTGATGTGGTAATAAATTATACACTTTGCGCTTTTTCTTTTGTAATTTTTTCCTTAACTCTCTCACACTTTCATATTCTCTGCACCTCACTACCTTCTTCATACTGTTGTATGTTCACACTGAGTGAAAGAGCTTAAATTTATTACTACACTAGCCTCCCTCTTGGGAGAGAGGTGAGATAATTAATGATGAATTTGTTAAAAATTTCACCTCGTAGGTTCAAGGCTAATCTGGGTCCCATTGCAATTTTTACTTTTTTCTTTACTTTTTAACTTTTTAAAAAAGTACTTTTGTTATTACAGAAACCCTGCAAACTTTTTAATCAAGTAATCAAAAAACGTTATAAAATTTTTTTTTAAAATTGCTAATACAATATGAATATAACATACATTGACAAAAAAATCTCGCTTGTCTACGATTATAACTTGGGTATTTACTCGTAACATATAAATTGTTATAAAAATCAAGTTTCAAAATTTATCTTACAGAAAATATTGCAACCAAGACCTATTCAGTTTAGAGATTTCTACTACAGCATTAACTACTTTTTTAGGCTTCTTCTTTTTAATTGAAAACATTTTCTTTTTTATTTTGAAATCAGGTCTGGGAAGTGAAATCAGAATTAACTTCGAAGTTCTTTATAGTAATCCAGGTAATACTTTTCATTTCATTGAATTTTTGGTAAACTCAGTAAATTTTATTCTCAAGTTACATAACATATTATATAAAATAAAAACATGAAAAAAGAAAATATTTCTTAAGGAAGAGAGATTTTGCAAAACACCGTTTAGAAACTGCTATAACCAAGCTTTATCTTTGTACTTATAGTTCTTAAGGTTTGTAATATATACCTTACTGCACTTATTTTTTTTTTTAAAAATTGAAAAATATTGCAGAGTTTTTGAATTTTTTTGGGGCATATAAATACCTCCGGTGGAGGGCTTCCATTTCCTGAACACTCAATTATTGCGCCAGAATTGTTGGAAAACTCAACCTTGTGTGGCGGTTCATGGAGAAACACCGGGCCTTGAAGATCTAATGCATTCAGAGCTGAAAAGAAAAATATATATTAATTTTGTACCGACATTTTAATACAAAAATATTTACATAGAGCGTTTATACATATGTAAGTATATTTTTTAAAGGGTGAGAAACTTATTTATATGTACCTTAAAATCAAAACAATTTTTTTTGTTTATTGGGAAAAAATTCCTAAATAAAAGTGTATCTCAAGTTCACTATGCCCATCCACATGTCTATCCGTTAAACTGTCATTAGTTGTACAAATTAAATCTTATAGGCAGTGTAAATCGTACAACTAATCAGATTAAAGTTTACAAATCAAATTTGATTTGGGGAAATTTTTGTTCACTTTAATTGTTTTTTACGACATAATTGACGTATGGGATTTTTTATTAGATTATAATATTTTTTCCAAATACAGTCTGTTAAATTGTCGACGCCCAATTTAGTTTTACTTATAGAGATTTTGAAAAACTAAAACACAAAATTTAAAATTGATATTACCGTAACAACTGACAACAGAAACACTGTTCTGGTAAGTAAAAAGCCACCGTGTTAAAAAAATTTTCCGAATTACTTCAATCGGGTCGGGTCAACTTCAGCATAATTCGTATGTTTTTCCTCAATTTATTTTCTATTGAAATTATATTTTGACAAAAAACTATTGAAAAAGTTGATCCTTTTCGTTTGCTTAAAATTTTTTATTTTTATTATGTATATAGAGAAATGTAAAATTAAAGGCATTTGATTTGCTCTTCTAACTAAAATTTTTAAAAAAATAATTTTTTCCATAATTACCGTTAATGTTTCATAATTAAAAATTTTTCTTTTTTATAGATTTATTGGTTTAATGATATCAGTTAACCAGTTATATGTATAATCAGTTATATGTTTATACAAAAATGCAACCAATAGCAACAAATGATTATGTATTTCTGTACTATGGAAACTTGGAATAATTTTGCAGTATTATGTATAATCATTTTACAGTGTTTTAGAAATTTAGAGATATTAGTTCTAAGTTAACACTGATTACTTAAAATACCCAGTATTTTCTTGGACATAAATTTTGTAGTAAAAGGAAAATGTGCTTAGAGTCTTGTGAATTTACCCTACAAAAATTTTTCAATTTAAAATTTATTTTGATTTTTCTTTCGTAATTTAACTCAATATTTTCTTAAATGGCAATAATAAGGAAGGTGTGTTTCGATTGAATTTTTATAAATTTTAGGAAATATAGTTTTAATAAAATTTATATTGAATGCATTCTTCTCTTTCGGTATTTTTTTTTTGCAAACATCAAAATAAAACTCCATAATTTATTTATATAAAAATTTTCTTAAGTATTTTTAGATGTAAATGACTTTAAACTTAAAACGATAGTGATAATTTTATGTTCTTCATATAAACTCTTTATGCTTTAATAAAAAACCATAAGAAGAAAATGAGAAAATTTAATAAAATTATGATTTTATTACTAACTTCATTATTTTAGTACACACACTTTGTTTCGAGATATTGAATGGAAAATAGGACTATTTTATTTTTCTCATACGAATTAGTTTCATTAGATTGATTGCTTACAAATCAAATATGCTTTGAATTTTAATCGTTTCAAACTAAGTCGTACAATTTTGCTTAATTTTTGACGCTGTCATATTATTAATTAGTATAAGCTTAAAATTAGTATAATTCTGTAATAGATAGTTGTACATTCTTTGAGAACTATTAAGACAAAAAAGTAGCATATAGGTGAATTATGACCTAAGAAAAAAATTAAATACTCGTATGAAAATTAAAATACGAAATTTTTTATTTTTGTTTTATTTTTTTTTTATTATCTACTCCTTTTAATTTTCTGCCACTGATAATTTTGTAGTAACATATAACAATTTTAACAGATTTATGTATTTTTTATAACAATAAGACGTGCGATATAGCTTTAGGTACATATGTAAGTTAAGACACTATGATACACGCGCATAGCTTCAAATGCTGAGATCAGCAAAATTTTTATGAGAATATTCAATTTTTCAATTCTATATTGTTTCCAGATGAATATACATTTTACAATAATTTTGTATATGTTTAATATTTTGTATTATGTTATTCTTTTCGACTTATTCAAAAAACTTGTTTATCTAAAAAATTAAATTCAATTTAAAAGTATAAAAATAGGAAAAACAAAAGAGAAATCTATAAACAGTTTAGTTTTAATAAAAACTTATTCTATAGTAAAACTTAGTCTAAATTTATAAATAAGTTGTTGATATTTGTCTTATCAAGGGATTTTCAGAATTTTCACAATTATGCGAAAACCTTTCGATTAAAATATCCATTTTTTCCGATATTGATAAAATGTTATCTCTATCGTGCAAAGCAAGGGTAGAGTAACGCAATGGTAAGTTATATACCATCTTTAATATTTTATTTTGCAAGACTTGAAGTTTTCTAATATAGGTATTGGCGCACTAAACCCCAAACTGGTACATGAGAATATTGTTTAGTAATTTACTTGTGAAAACTTTATTTTTACAATTCTCACAATAAATGCCTAACAAGCATTTTTAAATTTATAATTTAACTTTAACTTTATAATAATTGTAATATTTGCTTAATAAACAATTATTTGCTATAAATATGTTAAAAAATAGTAATTAAGTTCAATTAAGTTTTATTATTATAATTGAATACATTAACTCAATAAAACGTATTATATAATATATAAGTAAATACAAAAAATATATAATATTATAAGTAAATACATGGTGATTCAGAAAGGTATACAATAGCATATACCATTGGTTAGAGGATCGAAAATGGGTAAAACTTTTGTTCCAGACTAGATGCGAAATCTGAAGGACTTAGTCAAGCTTTTTTGATTATAACTTCTGTTCCGAAAAAGATAGGGCCTTCAAATGAACAGTTTCTGAAAGGGCTAGTAAAGAGCTTGGAAACAATATATTACTTGATTTTATGAACTCTCCCTCTGTGTGTGCATGCGTGTATCACAAGTTCGGCTGAACCGACTTTGATGAAATTTTATATGTAAGTTTATTTCGACTATGGCACGGATTGATCAACTTTTGGGATATATCAGGATTGGGGAACTGCTCTTTTTAACGGGTCTGTTTTACATTTTTCAGCATTTTAAAGAAAATATTCAACAGATTCACTTGAAATTTGATATATAAGCTTCGCTCTACCGTCAACGAAACCTCCTAACTTTTGGAAAAATCAGGCGTCAGCAACTGGAAACTTTTTGAACTATATATAAATTTTTGCATATATAAAGAAATTTAATATTTAAATTCTTCGCATTAAAACAATGAACATATAAATTTTTTGAAAAGATCAAGGCTCGAAAACTGATCTGCGGGTCAATTTACATTTTTCACCATATCTATGAAACTAATTGACGGAGTTTCCTAAAATTTGATATTTAAGTTCTGGTTATTACCAACACAAACTGGCGAGCATTTGAGGGAGTTCGGGTAGCACAAAGCGAAACTCTACTAAGAGCCAAATTTACATTTTGCTAGGTATGTTAACTAAAAGCTTACTAACGCCCTAAAAATTGGAAATAAGTATTTAACAGACATTTTTATAGTATTCTGTAACACTTTCACTTAACTAAACAATACACATTGCGGTTGGTCATATGCTGACCACATCAGATTTTTTTAAAATATGATATCTTCATATCTTTAAAAGAAACATACGTCAAGCTATTGGAAAACAATGCATAATTTCTAAGATACACTTTAGAGACTGACCCAAGAAACTTACTGAAATTTATTTAAATTTTACTATGTTTTTGGAAAAGTGTTTTTATTCAATTATAATAAACATTACGGTCAAAGCTCCCGCAATATAAAAAGAAAAGAAATGTTCACCAACAAATGAACACACTTACATATTTTATTTTATACTTACAACGAAAACAGTTGATATTTGACAGCTAGTTCTTAATAAAAATTTTACTCATTTTTGATGCCCTAAATGATGGTATATGTATGTTATGTCACTGATTACTGAATCACTCTGTATAAGGAAAAATCTGTCTTTATATCTGTTATTATCTTTATGGTTAGATGTAAAGACATTAGTTCAACCTTCGAGACTTTTGATTGCTTGTTTAAAATATAACGTTTTACTTACATAATAAAATCACTTACCTTGAAACATGCAGAGGATCAAAACAGCCTTTAAAAGGCTGGGTAAATCCATTGTTTGAGCAAATGAGTAATGTTTTCCATTACATCCTTTATGAATTATTTGAAAAGAGCATTTTTATAGTTCCTATAAATTTTTTTATTTTCTCTTAAATTATTTTATGTATTTTTTAATTTACACTTTTCTTTTAATATTTCTTCGCATACATTACATGCAAGTAAGTTATAAATCATTCAAACACTTAAAATAGCGCGTCACATATTCTAACTATATGCTCTTTTTATTCCATTTTGTAATTATATTTTAAATTTTAAAAGTTTTATATTTTGTGGAGTCAGGGTTTTCTGGCAGTCATGTTTTTTATGAAAATACATATGATTTATATTGAACTTCACTATTTACTCTTATTGATGTACATATTTATGTACATATACGTACCCATTTATAGTACAAAGAACTTGTATGTAACCAATTTTAATATTAGTTTTCAATTATGAATTTGCATTATAATAATTAATATCATATAAAATATCACCGATTTTTAAATTTAATACTGAAAGTTGAAAATATACCAGTTACCAAATATTATCAAAATAGAATTATCCCTACAGCATAAACAAAAGTATAGATATTAAACCACATTTTATTAATCAATTTTAAGATCTATGTTTGCTGATATTCAATGATTTTTTTATGCAAATAAATTTTAATAAAAATCAAAATACAATCCCGACAGTCAAAATTTTTGTAAAATCTTAATTATTGTTCGCTCATAGATAATTCTGAAAAAAGAAATAATAAAGTTTGGTCAAACCAATGGTTTGTATTGTAGCACTTTTCCCTTCAGCAAGTAAAATACTGCTTTTAAATACAGTCTATGCATACCTATCACACTATTAAAATTATTTCATTCATATACAAAGCTATTTCTAGGATTGCATATATTTAGTATGAACGATTTATGCAGTCTTTGAAATAAAGCAAAAATTAATATAAAGAGGGGTTAACATAATGCTCGATTTTAAGGGTTAATTGCGTGAGTTAAGAAAAATAATTATCTTTTTTATTGTCATGGAATTTACCATTAGCTTTTTGCGTTTATAGAAATTTAAAAAAGGTTCCGGTTTCGGAAATATAAGGCGTCAAAAACTCAAATTTTACAAATTTCAAAAGGCGATAACTTGAGAGGTGGTGGAGATGGAAAAAATTTTTTTCTAACAAAATAGAACATTATTAGTGTCTCAAAGCCCTTAAAATTTCAGGCTTCTAGAGGTTGAGGTCTAGAAGATAAACGACATCAAAAATTTTGAAAAAACGGGCTTTAGATAATGGCAAATTTGAACGGCCATTTTGTTTTCCTAAAGTTTAACTATAGTATACCACGCTAGGGGAAGCAAGCCGCTGCGTTTATACGTTTGCAAAATTTCAAAAATGCTTATGGTTTCATTGCAACAAATAGCTTAAAAAAGACCATTTTTAGGGATTTGGGAGGGTATAACTTCTAGAGGGGGGGAGATAGGTAAAAATTTTGTTCTACGGAAATAAGTTTCTAGTAAAGATCTATGTACATACAAAATTTCAGCCTTCTATCTTCAAGGGTGTAGAAGTTTTGAAGACACGGATCGGCGGACGGACGGACGGACAGAGTGAAACTAATAAGCACTTTTTTTTCGAAAATTTTTTGGAAAAGTGCTAAAAATTAAGTTATCGTTGACTATAAATTATATTGTTCACATAAACATGTGCGCACTTAAATCTCAACCACAATATTGTCTAAGCCGGTTAGCACTTACTATATCTAACAGCAAAAACAGATTTTTTATAAAATTATCGTTATGTTGGGAGTATACAAGTGTATATATAATATATGTATGTACGTTATATACTTTAAATGTATACTATATTATAATATAATATAATATACTTACATATATGTATATAAAAATGTATAATATAAGTTTTGCTCCAACCTATAAAAATTGGCAAAACAGAAGCAGAATTTATTTTGCAATATTTAATTTTTTACTCTGACTGGAAAACATGTCTAAAAAGAATATTGATTTCCTGTAAGTTGTTAATTTTTTTAGTGTTGTGACTTGCTTTCCAACTCTCAAACATATCAAAATATCTCAAACATATTCATTTTATATGTAACGTATACATACAAATGAAAAATTTTTTGAACTAAAATTCAAATTTGTATCGTGGAAAAAGTATTGTGAATCTTGTGGAATATCACTAGAAATAAGTGATCCACTTTTGACAATTAAGCTACAAGAGAAACTATTTCCTATAGTATTAGTAAAGATTATGCGAGCGATGTTTATTATAGTTCATATACTGGCTCCTAAAAAGTATTAGAAAGCAGTCGTCATTATCAAATTTATCTATGGTTTAGCTTTAAGTGCTTTTTTATTTATTCCGCATAGCGAATTAGTAAAACATATTACATTTTCCACCATTGATATAAACTCATTGTTTTATTTATATTCAAATAATGAATAAAACTTGCCATTTTGATACCTTTGCGGCTGATGCCGTTGTTCTTCACAGAAAACAAAATCACTTAGTTTTTTTTAAATTAATTACACTTTTGAAATAATAAGTTGTTAACTTGGTACGTTCAAAATTTTAAAGCAAATTATTTATTTATTTTACATTATAATAACCAATTAATTAGAGTAGAAATAAAGTAAATATTCTTAAAAGAATAATTTATAAATTCTATGTTATGGCTATACATTAGTTCCATGTTTTAAGCGCATGCTTTTTATTTTAACACTTTATCTACCATATAAGCATCATTTTTTTAATTTTGTCTTATCTTAATAACGGTAATTGCTGAAGATATTGTGTATTACAACTTCTTCTACTGTTATATTATGTGTAACAGCAGGTATTTATTTATGTATTAATTACGACTTTTTCTTATATGTATGTACATATATACAAAGCCTGTTTACTTAATAAAATCTCAATCAATTAAAGAAATCTATCAAAAGAATATGTTATAAGAAATAGTTTAAGGTTTAAATAAATATTTAAAGGAAGTTCCTCATATGGAAGTTACACGTATGTAAATAATATGTAGATAAGTACACACAAGTATATACACAATAAATAATAATATTGTTAATACTGTATATACAGACTTGCCAAAATTCATAGTTAAAAACATAATTTGATTATGGTTACTCTAAAAACTTATTTTTAAATTTTAAATCTTAAGTTGAAACTTGTGCAATTTATCGGTGGCTCCGTACATATGTATAACACCATCCGTATGTTACCAGGCATAACTGTATGCACATACTATTATATTAATGTATGTATTTAATACATATATTTACCCATACCGCGAATGCTAAATATATGTATTTTCATCTTTCTTCGCATACATACATACTTATAAAATATTTAAAAAAAATTTAATTTATTTTACAAATAGAACGACAGAAATATGATTTGCATACTTATATTTATTGTATATATTAATATATATATATATATATACATATATATATATATATATATATATATATATATATATATAACTAACATAAAAGTGAATTTTTTTTCGAAAAAATATGCAATAATTTATTTAAAATAATCCCGCACGATTTTTTAAATATAATGGAGGACGGCTATATTTTTCTTTTCATAAAAAGAGTAACTGCATTTCTGAATACAAACAAAAATGTTTTTATTTAAAGTATATATGCGTATGTGCCTATTATATATATGAGTATGGTATAACATGCTTAGTTACTTATACTTCTATTTGTATTTATGTTAACCAAAAGATAAGGACTTATTAAACTTTCTCGTTAAAAAACATGAATTTCAATTAGAATAAATTATTTAGGATAAAAAAGTAAAACTTTTCGTAAATGTAATATTAATTAAAAAGCATTACGCACGTACACATATTTATATGTACATATACTTGGGTACACATATTATAATTATTATGTGCGTAAGTACGCACAAATTGTGCTTTAAGGTTCATTTCAAAGTTAAAAATTTATGTACTAATGTGTAAATATATGTATGTAGGTAGCTTTGATATAAAAAAAACAATGGGAAATTGAAAAAATATTTATTTTCTAATAATTAAAATAAAAATGGAATAAGTAGAAAATATACACGGTATATTTAAATATATATAATATACATATAATCATACTCAATCGCAAACATATATATACCTATGCATACATGTATATAATATGCTCTAATCATTATATGTGTATAACAATCTTCGCTGTTTTTTTTTCTTTCATTTATGCATATATGTGTATATGCACTTATTGTTATAATTTTTGCTTATCGATATTAAAATACCATGTACTTTAGATGCTTGTGCACATTTTTATTTAGTATTTTTGAAAATTTTTCCTTTTTGGATAGTGTAATACTTTTTAATTTTTTATTTTAATTGTTATTATTTATTTCTATGTTTTTTTTATGCTTATATTCAAAATATTTTAAACCGCATTATTTATTTGTTTATATACATACATATATATAATAATACATATAATAAGAATTAAACATAAAGAACAATTCTTTGCTTTCCTTTTTATTAATCGTTATTTTGAGAAACAAACGTTCATTTAAACTTGTATATTAACGTTTATCTATTCTTCGCTTTCCTTAACGAAATTTGCAGGTTCAATAACTTGTTCATTAAATTAGTAAATATGCATGTAGAATTGCCTGGTTTTCCTTTTTTTTATAAATAAAATAAATTGTTTTTATATTTTAAACATTATTAAAAAAAAATACTTGTAAATCTTAAATTTTTATTGTTTTTTTGCATAGGCTTTAAGGTTTACGGGTATAAATATGTACTTATATCTTTATTAAAATAATTATGTACAGTATATTAATAACTGTATATATATATACATAATTATATAAATGTAATTATATATTTGAGTATTATATGCACACTAATTCATTTTATATTTTTACACACATTTTTCACTAATTTGTTTTTCATATTGATTTTTTTTTATTTTTTTCAAGTATGAGGTAATTGCACTCTATAAAATAAAGGTGCACAACATCAAAAAACGTAATTGCGACTATACAATTTTATTATACCGTTATGTATTTATCTATCGGTTCTACATATATTTTTATGTATAAGAATATACATATATATGTCCATTTATTGATTGTTCATTATATTGTTGTAGGTTCTTTGAATTTTTAATTGTAGAGCATGTAGGGTATATACACATCAACGCATCCTAGTATAAGTATCTTTTTTTCTTATCAAAATTCAATATGAATGAATATTTGTGGACCTAATTATTGTTTATCCATACACATGTACATAGTTATATATATATGAACTATGAGTACAAAATACTATTGATGAGCGGAAAAATTATTCAAAATATTTTCAAAATTTACGAATTTGAAGGGCGTAAAAAAATGCGTTATCAAAAAAACACGCATATATTGAATAAAAAAAGGAGTATATTTTTGTAAGTAGTGCATTTTTTATGTATAATTTGCATGTATGTAAGTATGGGTACACACAATATTTAAATACAAGTGCAAAAATGTTAGTTCTGATAACAAAAATATAAGTATTTTTAATACTTATTTTATTCTGAGAAGCTCACCTTAATTCAATGTTTAAAATAATGATATATATATATATATATATAAATATATTTCTTCTTAGAGATGTATTTGTATAAATATATAATTCATACACCCATGTACTATTTTTTTTCTATTGTGAAAATAACGGAATAGTTTGGAAAAATGGATGAATGTTTAATATTTTCTTTTTATAACATTTTTTTTTTGTAGAAAATTAAAGTTAAATTGTATTGTTTTTTTGTAAAAATTAGTGTTAAATTGTATAAAAATTTTAAAGTCTCTTATATGCAATAAACTTGTGTACATCTATCTGCACATATATAAATTATATTTAGAAAAAATACACAGAGTTATCACTTATTAATATAAAATATTAAAAACATATTATACGAAACCTGATTTATATAGATAGTTCATGAATGATGAAAATATGTCGATGTAAATATATAGATACATACATACATACATACATATATCGATACGTAATAATCTGAAATTATTCCTACTTCAATTGTCTCTAAAAAATTCTTATTTAAGTATAATAAAATACTAACGTATTAATTATGATTTATGTATGTTATGCTTAATTATTTTATTTTTCATTTTCTTATATACTAATATTAAAAAATGAATTATTTTTTATTGCGTTTAATTTTTTAAATAAAAACTATTTATTATGTATAATATATTTTCCTTTTTATAAAAAATGAAAAATAAAACATAACACCGAAATGTTATGATGTGCACTAGCCCGGTATTAACTATTAACTGGAATAATTTTAAAGTTCTAGAAAAGAAAATTTATCTTTTATACGGAAAAAAATTAACTTCTTGTATGAGAAGGATTCACTTTTTGTTTCTTCAATTTTTAATTTTATCCTTTTCATTTATTTACATTTTTTTTTTGCTTCGTTTATGCTTCTGATTTCTTTATATTGTTGGTTTTGTTTTTTTTTCTTTTAATTTTATGTTAGCTTCGTTTTATTACGTCCAGCATAAATTTTTGTATAGGAAAATTTATTGATTCTAAAATATTTCATACTGTATGGATCATAATAAAATCTTAATCTCAACCATCTAATATATCTACAGAAACGTTCATATGTATATCGTACAAATGGGCCCATATTCAATCTTATGACAAAAAAAAAACAAAAAGAAAGAAATAAAAAAAAATGTAAACTGAATTTTTGAATAAAAAAAGGTACATTGAAATTTGCAGAATTCAGAGCGCATGCTTAAGTATTGTGTTCGTTAATATGCGGTTATTCACATGAGATTTTGGATGCTATCTCAAAGAAAATGTTAAAGTGAAGCACACAATCCAAAAGTTCTATATTCGTTTCTAATATACAAAGATACATGCATACAACAAATTTATAATATGTACATATTATGTGTATTCCCTTAAATTTAAAAATTACGAGTATTGTTGCCTTATAAACAAGTAGTCAAGAAAAAATATTTTTAAACATACTTATTTAAACATTCTTTTTGTTCGTAATTGTAAAATAGCACAGCTTATGCTAATATCTTATAGCTTATTTAGCCTCATACTCCCTTATCTTTATTATTATTATTAACATATTTTACCTACAAAAACGAATATTATAGACATTTTATACATATGTACATATTATATACATATTATGTATGAATGCAGCAAAACACTTATTCATATACTTATGTACATACATTTGTGCATAATTGCATGAAAGAAAGCTAAACAAAAAATATTACTCCTTTTTATAAGGAAAATAATTAAACGAACTATCGGAAACAACAAAATATCGAAAAAAGCATACAAGGGTCTAATAATCAATAGTCATATAATAACCAAAAGTATTTCTAAAAACTTTTCGAATTTTCTTGTTCTCTCAATAAACACTTTTTTGATAATTCAATTTTTTGATAATTGACAGTAATTCGAATGGGACTCTTACTGTTTATCTGAGTTTTTTAAGTTCAGCATTATCTAGAAATCTATTGGTTGTTTATTTCTTTGACATTTTAAATTGCAAAGAACTTCTGTAAAAGCTTGAAGGTAACAATAACTGTTTTTACTTAAGAAAGACGCATATATAAAGTGGTCATAACTCGTTTTAAAAATCATTTTTGTACTTTGTATTTGTCCTCAAAGTAGGGAATAAATAA